GTGGCAAACTTTTCGTTTAGTCAACAGCCATAATAGACCCCGACCTTTCTACAGCCAGTGAGTGCCCCCAGGAAAGCCTTTTTCCAGAAGAAGTTTATCGGGTTGTTCCCCATCCGTCCGTTTATTTATGAAGGCAAAACCCTGTGTTTCTTCGAAGTCACCAGCACTTTTTCTCAACAAGTACGTTTTAAAAAAAATAACCATGTACTTTATCAGGCTAACAAATTGCACAATATGCAATTTGATTGCAGTGTCTCTTAAAAGCACAAGAATTGCTTCACTGTTTTAGGTTCACAATTTTGCATTTTCGCTTTTTTTAAAATTTTATTTTCTTAAGACAGAAGGTTTGTTTGGAAAAAGAGAGAAGATGAAGTAAATGGAATAGACAAGTAATCCATAGAAAGAAAAGTGTAATGACATATAACCCCGCTCACTTGAGACCTTGAGCTACAACAGTCCTTTGGCAATCTTCACAACCGCACAGCAAGAAAACAACATGGCGACTCTCTCCATCACCGTAGAGCTCGCATGGTTTCAACACGGCAATAAAAACGTTCCACATCAAGGTCCTGGCCTTTGCTTGTCCCATGACGCGGTCTTAAGGGAGTCGTATCTTCGATACGATCGGAGTGCACATCGCTGCACTCCGCAACTTTTCCCACCAAACAGCCCACCATGGCTACCCTCTCCATTCGACGGGACTACCGCCGACCTCTGCCGGCGTGACTCTTCAATATTTCATTCAGGAAGTCCTGCTTGATTGGATGGAGGCGGGACACGCCGCTCCCGCCACTATTATACTATGGACAAAGAGCCCCCAAAAGGTACGCATCTTTGCAGACCTCCTTAACATCGTCAATTTTCCGAGCCTCAGAATTACCTTACAGTACTTGGAGGACCTTCAGTGCCCTCCACTCGCCCAGATATGCCCCACCACCCAGCCATGGTCGATCACTCAAAAGGCCGTCCGCCTTGCTCGCTGGCTCGAGCCTCGACGAACGCGTGGCACACAGACACTTTCATTTTGTTTCCAATTCGGGGAAACTGAAAGAAAAGCAACGCGACACCAGGACACCAAAAGAAAAGCCAGGAAAACAACACACGAACAAAAAACGAAAAAAACAGCCAGGACAATTGACATTTTAAGCCACTGAAGGATACGAAAAGACCAGCCAGGACAGCAGAACAGTCAAGGCAGGACCAGAAACCTGGGGAATTGGACAAAGCACCGACAAGCACAGATCACCAAAAGATCAGGCCAGGACAAGTCACAGTAAGAAAACCCTCATCATTTTGAATATGGTTATTTTCTACTATGCCCCTTGGACAGTTTGAACATTTTTTTAAAATATCTCTTTCCGTATTTGAATCGCTAAGATTTAATCTGTTCTCCTTGTAACGGGGTAGGTTTAATATTGGTGTATGCAGAAATGTTTAATTACTTTTCCACTTTTATTTCTTAAACAGTTGAGTTTGTTCTCGTAATTTTAATTCCCTTTCATATGATTATTTCCCACACCAACTTTGCATAGATAAGCAGAAATTTTTAATTACTTTTCCACTTTTATTTCTTAAACAGCTCTACTATAATTAAGATAGGTATATTTTTAATATCAGAGCTGTGAATTCTCACCTCAGTTTCCTATTTTTAATGGCCTACAGTTTATTGTTTCAGCTTTCTTAATTTTGAAATTCTTCCATCATTAAAACAGATGGGAATATTAAGTAGTTATCATTTTACTTTAAATAGACCTTTTCTGCTCTTTTGCAATACTATTCAAATAATGTAAATTTAGTGAGCAATGGAACCTTGCACCAGTTCACTTGAGCAAGTACTTTGTAAAGCTTCTTCGATTACGAAGTTGTGTACACTAGAGGTCATGTCAGTCATTGGCCTGACTTAATATTAAAGTCTACTGTGAAACCAAAACGCTGTCATATCCTTGACGTCTGTAAAAGCTCGCTCGAAGCAGATCTCCGCAAACCCTGAAATCGTGCTGAGTTTCCTTTAGAGCATAACTAGACCCCAAAGTAGTAAGAAGAGTAAAGTTGTCAGAAAAAGAGAGAAAGAAAGTTTATCAACAACAAACTTAGCGTGAGATTTTTTTCTAACAGTTCTGGTATTTCCGCCTGAATTGCCTGAAGCGGTGCTGGAACTAACAGTTTTGGAGGAAATTAACCTGTTTGGCTAAATGAAACTGCACTTGAAGCAATTGGAAAGTGACTAACTTGACTTACAGCAAGCTGTTACAGAATTGCCTGAAGCGGTGCTGGAACTAACAGTTTTGAGGAAATTAACCTGTTTGGCTAATGAAACTGCACTTGAAGCAAAGTGACTAACTTGACCTACAGCAAGCTGTTGCCAGAATTGCCTGAAGCCGTGCAGGAACTAACAGTTTTGGAGGAAATTAACCTGTTTGGCTAATGAAACTGCACTTGAAGCAATTGGAAAGTGACTAACTTGACCTACAGCAAGCTGTTGCCAGAATTGCCTGAAGCCGTGCAGGAACTAACAGTTTTGGAGGAAATTAACCTGTTTGGCTAATGAAACTGCACTTGAAGCAATTGGAAAGTGACTAACTTGACCTACAGCAAGCTGTTGCCAGAATTGCCTGAAACGGTGCTGGAACTAACAGTTTTGGAGGAAATTAACCTGTTTGGCTAATGAAACTGCACTTGAAGCAATTGGAAAGTGACTAACTTGACCTACAGCAAGCTGTTATCAGAATTACCTGCTGCTGTGCTGGAGTTAAAATTTTGGAGGAACTCAACCTGTCTGGCAGCTAAAGCTGCCACTGAAGCAATAAGCAATTGACAAACTTGACCAACAGCAAGCTATCAGTGACACCTTCAGATTTTCTCCTGGCACATTGTGTGACAAAAGTGAGAGAACCAATGTTTCATTAGAATTGCCTGAAGCTGTGCTAGAGTTGATAGTGCTGGAGAAACTTAACATGCCTGGCAGCTAAAGCTGCAACTGAAGGAATCATAAATTGACTGACAGACAGCGGTCAGAGACACCTTCAAATTTACTCATGTAGAGAATATTCCACTGCTTTTCAACTCCTTTGACAAATGAAACTTAAGACCATACAAAATCCCTTCTCAGCAAAAAGCACCAGTGAAAGTATACCTCTCATAAAGAAACCTCTTCAGATAACCTCCAAATGCCAAGAACAGGACAATGAAAAGTGGTTTATTTTTCTTGATTGTCAAAGAAGACCCATGTCACCAGTTACTGAGTTGTTTCCAATCCATTCACACAAAGAGGTTTCCAGAGAGAGCAGTTTCTACTATGTATCCTCACCATCAGAGTGTCGGAAAAGTGTCAGAAGTAATTAGTGCGTGACTTGTAAACAAATCATTTCACTTAGGATTTCACTCATCATGAAGTAGTGACATCAATCTCATAACCTTAGTGACCATAGACAAGGGTGTTTTTAGGATATTGTGGTTTTTGCGATTAGAAGTTAGGATTGACACGATACAAAGGGAGTGACAACTGTGAATAAAGAGAGTGAATCAAAACTACGCGAGTGACTAGTGTTGCAGAAGCGGGATTTCCACCAAGACAAAGCTCACTTCATGCCAAAAGAAAAAGACGTCAAAAATTTATTAGAGCCATTTTAGCACTATGACAAGCCTTCAACCACAAAGTTTCCAATAAATGTTCACATTGATCAATTTGTTAAAGTTGAATAAAGATTTCATTATTTATTTTGTTGATTAAATTTGTCTTATTTAACTTCAGTTTGCAGCTAAGGGTAACTTTTGAATCTAACTGTAACTATAATAAATGCAAGGAGGAGCCCATCGTATAGAAGCCCTGCAGGTTCTCACAGGCTTCCTTGCCACCTTTGGTATTTACTTGTTACAATCTTAACTCAATAATTAAATTAATGGTAAAATAGGTCAAAAAATAGCTAGGATACATTAGTAATAATATTTTGGTGTAAAGGATTTCATTCATGTGATGTGCTTATATAGTTTGTGTGTATTTTGGCCATAGTGTACCTCTACGATAAAATTTTAAAGTCATTTTTAGGTGCTGATACCTTCTAATTAAAATAATAGTACATTATTATTTTCTTGATAATAAATGATTAAAACCTGATATTGGATATTAAAGAGTTGTTGTTCTCTCTATCCTCTATTTGAAAATTAATTTGTTAGCTTTAGATCATGCCACTTGGACAGAGCTTGAACCAGCCTGCAGAGTATCGTGGCTTGCCTTTTATAATGAGTTAATAATAATTTTCTTTTTCTCTACTTGTAGATTATAATCTTACGATAATCAAGACCAGACATAAAAAATTCAAGGTAGTTTGATGAATCGAGCATTGTTGCAAATTTCTCCTAAGCTTTAAATCATTTCAAACAAAGAAAAACTTGAAGCTTTATCACAAACAATTGTGTACTGCTTGTGGAATCTCTGAGTGTTTAATTTTAGACTGTGGAAAATGAAGATGCACTGCTGCTTCTTCAAGGGAGATAACACCATAGGGAAGGGTATATGAAGTATGCGATTAATAATGCAATAAAATTACTCATGTCTTTAAAAAAAAAACCATCAAGTGTCATCATAATAATTTTCTTTTTCTCTACTTGTAGATTATAATCTTACGATAATCAAGATCAGACATAAAAAAATTCAAGGTAGTTTGATGAATCGAGCATTGTTGCAAATTTCTCCTAAGCTTTAAATCATTTCAAACAAAGAAAACTTATCACAAACAATTGTGTACTGCTTGTGGAATCTCTGAGTGTTTAATTTTAGACTGTGGAAAATGAAGATGCACTGCTGCTTCTTCAAGGGAGATAACACTATAGGGAGGGGTATATGAAGTATGTTATCAATAATGTGATAAGATTACTAAAGTCTTAAAAAAAAAAACAAAAACAAAAACATCAAGTGTAAAGAATATTGAAGCTACTATTTTGAAAAAAAATTTGTGTAATTTAGTATCAAACTGAATAAAATACATCACTTACACTTGGCCTCAGTTTTTATCTCCAGGATTTTCCTCTTCTTTGTTGGTTTGATTCACAATGTTTACAAATTCTTCATAACATCCACTCTCTTCAAGAAGCTCTTTGGCAACAGACATGGAACCTGCCAAGGATAACAGCACCTGTATGCCTAGAAACCAAAGTTCTGATATGTCATCCCAGAAATCTCTGCAATGGGTGGCTAACTCAGTCTTCCTATCACCTGGGTCTCCTTGTGTTTTGCCAGTAGTAGGGTATCTTGCTTCTTTCAAGATCTGAATGGAGTTTTTAAGGAAAACAGATACCTCTAATTGATCAAACGATACTGTTTTTCCTCTGTCTTTGTGGCATTTCACAAACAAAAGACCAAGGACTACAAGATTCACTAAAATAGTGATATTTCTATCTCTGAAGAGTAGCTGTGAAGAAGACAAAAGGGCATGTTTGCCAATCTCCTTAAGTGCTTCAGCTTTTGTTGAAAGTTCTGGTTCTGTCACAAGGATATTCAAGAAAATACCGAGCATGGTAATAAGACACGTCTCTGACTCATTGTCATCTGTGACACCATTTGTTTGTCCATACCAACTGTTCCAATGATGAAAAAAGTACTTTGATAAAAGTTCAAGACCATTGTTTTCAACGAAGATCTTGCGCATTTTATCATCAGCAGACAGGTGACACAGGGGTGGTAACATGAAACGCATGATATCATATCTAGTTTCTGAATGATGCCCTATCAAATTCTCCAGATCTGGTAGACTTGCACTTATGTCTTTTTCACTTGAAATCGTAGCATCCTTTCTTTCATCTTGAAACCAAAGCTTAAATTCTGCAAAGAAAGAAAAATATTCATCATAACCTAGAAACAAAGAAACATATTACATTTAACCTTTTAACTCCCATGAGTGACCAAGACGGAATTTCTCCTTACAATATCAATACAATATCAACCAGAAAAGTGATGAGAGTAAAGAAAAATATCAATTTGGGGATAATTAGTTGATTTAATTCTAAATTCTCTAAACTAACATTATAAGAGTGGTTTGGTTGATAGTAAGGAGAATAACAAATTTGATCTGGCAGTAAAAGGGTTAACCTCTTGATCAAGTTACCAAAACCTAAAACTCCTGACATCTGAAAGGAAATTCTTCTCAAAAATGCCTCTACATGCCTTTGATGAGTAGTCCAGAAAAAAACACCTCTTCAGCCTTTATTCTGTTTACTTATTCCAGGTCAAGTAGTAATACTCTAGAAAACTGTTCCTTTCAACTTTTGTAAATTCTGTGTATATATGCATGTGAGTATGAGGAATTTGAAAAGATTTCTCTTGAATATAACCACATGACTTGAAGTGGGGAAACAATACATACAAGCTAAAAAAAGTCTATTCAGTATTCAATCCAAACAATACACTACAGTTGGTAATTTAATTCTCAAGCACTGAAATTTTACTTTAAATCCCTTTCAAGAGATGAAGGAAAAAAATCCTAAATGGACTTATTTTTGCTACCATGACATCAATTCTAAACTTTTGGGTTGGTTTGTGCCAAATTAAAAGCTATTTTCTGGCTGAGCAACCTCATTAAAATGCCAGGAAAAGTCAATTTATTCAACCAGAAACTAAAAAAAAAAACCTTTTGTTACTCTTTCAAACAATGAAACTCTCTGAGGGACAGATGCAAATTTTCTGAATATTTAATGATTTGGTCACACCCAAGGTTCCTGAATAAAGATCAATCAGAAAATAAGAATTTTTTCGTTGTTATTTTTGTCCCAAATATTTGTTCGACAAAGTTTAGCGATTTCCCTTCAGTTTGCCAAAAATTAGCTTACGTACTCTTTCAAAAGATAAAATAAAATTTCGTAGAAAAGGTTGTGGTTATTCATCGTGGTGAATAACAATAAAAGCTAGCAGTATGCAGTCGACACGTCGCGATCTACATCACCAGTGACTACAACGCGAGACAAACGTAAAACTTAGCTTTTATAAAGTAAAATACAATACGCCCTTTTCACATTTCATTTCAGTCCAGTCCTAGAAAATTTCATTTACCTTTTCCCGAGAATTTCAACAGTATTTAATAACATCTTTGTAAAAGATGTCTAACTTTACTTCAAACATTGTTATGTAGCAAATGACACGATTCGCATATTCGCCATTGCTCGCCGAAGATGACCTGAATGAACTGAAACGTGTCGCCATTTCAACTGCTTTACAAACATATCTGGACTTTTCTACTTCACCAGGACTTAAAATTCTATTTCGAGCTATGCATTTTTTGAAAATACGATGTACTACTCGGCAAGAACGAGAGTCCGGTGTTTTCAATTCGCTGGACCAAGACTAGGAAGGCGTGTATGAGGTCTGTTTACGTAAGGAGAGCAGACCTTCCAACCCTCACGGTTTGACCGTGAGACTCACGGTTTGGGATGTCAACTCACGGTCTCACGGTTTTGCCCCTTAATCTCACGGTGAATCAGAAAGTTTTAAAATTGCCAAACAATTCCGGAAGGTATGAAGGAATAGCAAAAAAATCTGTGCTCATAACAGCCGAATCAGGCATCAAAACTAATTTGCGAGGGAAATGGCGCCAATGCTAGGCTCAGTCTCCAGTCGTGTCTTGTTGCGCCCAGGTTACTCACCGCTACCAGAGGATCGCGGGCGCACCAAGACACGGCCGAAGAATGAGCCCAATGCCAGCCTCATTCTAATGAAACATCGGTGCGCTAAGGTTTCTGGGAAAGCTTAACCATCGAACACAAATTTCAAAATGGCTACTCGTCGTCCAGCACACGAGAGTGAAACAAGTTCTCAAAATGACTCTGATACTTCGGAACCTCAGCCATCTACCGCGAAGAAAAGGAAACCAGCTACCCTTGGAGCAGCTAAGTATCGTACGACATTTAAGGTTGAGTGGAGCAATTTATATCCCGTGAAAGCAGTAAGAAACGACAAGCATTCTTTTTATTGTGTGCCTTGTCTCAAGACAATACGCTGTGACCACCAGGGTCTAAAAGACGTGAAAGATCATTGTAATACAGAATCTCACAAGTTATCGACGAAAGCAGCGAAAAATCAGCCATCAGTAGCGGGCATGTTTGGTTCAGGCGGTAGTGTTATACAAAGTGCAGTTACCAGAGCAGAAGTCCTAACAACAAATTTTCTGATCCAGCATAACCTCCCACTTGCAACTTCAGATCACCTTGGGCCATTGTTTAGGGCAGTATTTCCAGACAGTGAAATTGCTAAGCAGTATGGATGTGCAAGAACAAAGACTATGGCTATCATCAATAAGGCTCTGGGACCACATTGTCACAGATATGTTGTACAGCACTGTCAGAAACATCCATTCAGTATTGGAATTGATGGGTCGAGTGATACAGATGTTGAAAAGATGAATCCAGCAACCGTAAGAATTTTCGATGTAGAAAGAGCCAAAACTGTTACATCTCATTTTTATCATATGTGTGTGACAAGTGGCAGGGATGCGTCAAAAGCAGAAACTCTTTTTGGTGTTGTCCAGGAAAAGTTAGAGACTGATGAAATACCATGGAATCAGGTTGTCAGCCTTTCAGTAGATAACACTAATTCAATGGTGGGTGCTCACAATTCTTTGGCATCCCACTTCAAAGCAAAAAATCCAGAGACCTATGTATTGGGATGTCCTTGCCATTTGGCGCACATTGCAGCAAGTAGAGCTCATGACGAATTTGCAAAGATTATAGGAATCAGTGCAGAAGAGCTTCTTATTGATCAGTATTACTGGTTTGATAAAAGCACAAAACGGAAAGGGATCCTACTTGAGTACATGCAGTTTTGTAACCAGGAGTATGGTAAGATACTGAAGCATTCTTCTACCAGGTGGCTTTCTTTAGAACGCTGCGTTCAACGCACACTTGAAAAGTATACTGGATTGAAGTCATACTTTTTGAGTGAAGATGCTGGTGATGCGAGATTCAAGAGGTTACAGAAAGCCTTTGAAAATCCACTCACAGAAGTTTCCCTGTTTTTTCACAATGCTTCCATCCCACTGTTTACAAATTTTAACAAACTTTTGCAGTCAGACGAGCCATCCATTCACATAGTTTATGACTCTGTCATAAAACTTGCAAATACTCTTGGAAATCGTGTTATCAAGGTGGAGGTCATGAAGAAACCACTTAATGAAATTAATTTGCAAGATCCAACAATTTATATACCCCTTGCAGAAATTCACTTAGGAGGGACGACAAAGTTTACACTACAGAGGCTACTTAATCAAGGGGAAATATCTCAAACAGCCTACACTCGTTTCTTAACAGCAGCACATGAATATTTCAAGGCAGCCTTCCAATATGTTTTGAGCAAGTTTCCTATTACTGATGAGCTGCTGAAGCATGCAAGATGGATCAACGTTCAGAAACGTAGTCAGGCAAAATGGGAGAGTGTAGAATACTTTCTATCCAGGTTCAAATCAGCCTTGAACACTGTTAACATTGATGAGATGTATGATGAATTTCGTGATTATCAGTCTCTAACAGATGAAGACATTGGTGTGATTGCTTGGAAGGAAGCTAAAGTTGTTGATGGATTAGTTAATGATCAGGAAATTTTCCATTACAGAGTAGACATTCTCTGGTGGTACATGTCACAAATGGTAATTCCTGAATCCTCAGCAAAAAGATTTTGCCATCTTCAGAAGGTGGCAGAGCTGGTTGTACTTTTGCCACACAGTAATGCAGGGGAGGAGAGGCTGTTCAGCATGGTTCGCAAGAACAAAACAGATAGTCGGTCCTCCCTTAAACTGGAGGGAACTCTATCGAATTTACTGGCAATGAAGTTGCAGTACCCAGAGGAAACCTCACCGTGTTTTAAGTTCAACCCTGATGAGAATCTTCTCAGCTCTGCAAAAAAGGCAGCGAAAGACTACAACAGAGAACACTGAGAAGGTAAGGAATACTCTGAAACAAATAATCTGTCGTCGTTTTTTTTATTTGACGCATATTTTTGAAGTCTCCAGGTTTGAGGTCCTAATCTCCAGGTTTCTCTAGGCTTTTTTTTTTAAAACCTCCAGATTTGCATGTGATGGGGGTTGGAAGGTCTGGGAGAGGAAAAAAAAAATTGAAAGAAAATCTTACAGCACCTGTTGTAAGCGATTCCTCTCCGATCTTCAACAGAAATGGAAGTAACTTGCCGACATCTTCTTGCAGAGCTGAAGTCTCTTCGGACATCCACGCACAAAGAATGCGGACTGACGCCACAACCACGCGGTTTTGTCCAGTTCGGCGACCTCTGACATCGTGTTGTGCCACCTGGTCCAAGTATAATCCAATGGAGTGCATGGCCTCGGTTGCCAGGGAATATACTTTGGACAGGCCGCCGCTAACAATGGACGGCAAATGAGATTTTGTATGAGTTTGAACAATAGCAAAGTTAATTGCTTTTTCGAGAATATTGTAACAGCTGGTCAGGACAATGGCCCTGGGTTCGATTTCCTCCGAGGTTTTACCGTCCAAAATCATTCTTATTTCAACACTGGCAATCGTAAGGCTTAAAATAAAGAGTCCCTGAGAATCTTGTCCTGAAAATGTAACCATCCAATCCATTCCAACCAGATCGATGATTATCGATATTAAAATCAGAGAGGGATCTCTCTGTGACGACGAAATTCTTGATTGCAGAATATCTTTCAATGCTTTATTTATATTGGCCAACCACGGATGATCTTCTTGCCCATCAAACGTAGATTTCTCGGCACCCGAAAGAAAAAGCACCAAAAAGTTACAAAGTTCAAATTTACTGCTGTCTTGAGTTTCTTTGAACAGCCTGCTCAATGTACTCAGTACGCCAAGAAGGTCGTCTCTTTGTTCTCGCCAAAGCACACGTGGCTCATTGTAGAGGATTCGAAGCAAGATTTCAATAGCATTCTTTGAATATTTTTCTTCAAGGACTTCGCAAAGCTTCGAAATTGCTCCCATTTCAACTAAATGTCTAATTCCGGTCGAAGAACCAGCGAAGGAGGCGAGAATTTGGTAACAATCGTCCGCGATCGCAGACTCGTTTCGTCCCGCTGCTTTGATGGTGGTCAGGAGCATTGGAATTTTATTTATCATCTCGCTGTGAGAGCAGAGCTCTTCATCAGTTGCAAAGCAGGCCAGAATAGTCAACGAGAGCGATTGATACACATCTGGAGGACAGCCGTTGGGTACATTTCGGGTACTCAACAATCTGTTCAAAAACTTGAAACCGATAGCGTCAAAAAGTTCCCTTCGACCAGCGACATCAACTTCGTTCGAACTGACCAACTGAGTGACCAACATCAATGCGGCAAAACGCTCCGTGTCTGTCTTTGCCACTTTAAGGAGCGAGATACACTTCCGAAGCGAGGATTTGGGTTTCCCATCATCGCTGGAATGTGTTTCAGAAGTAACTTCGCTCATTATGAAAAGAGCAATTGATCAATCAGGACAGAAGAACATGAAAGCTTCGCCGACCCTTATCTTGAAAGCGAGGGTAAAATCTTATTCCCAGGGCTCCTCTCTTGAGGAAGCTTCCTCACGAAATGAAAGAAGAGAGAGGAATCTGCAAACAAGGCTTACATAGTTACTCTTTTCTGTATATGATTCTAACGATGTACTTGAAAATAAATGAAAAAAAAGGAAACGTACTCTTTACGTTACAAGTTACTCACTTCATTGATACTTTAATACGATCATTCAAAAGAACATTGAAGGAAAGAACATTAAAGTTAGTAGGATAGAATATGTAACGTACACAACGTATCACGTTGAAACATAACATGGCTGACTTTGTTGAGTTCGTGAGTTCGTGACTTATGTAACATGAAAGAACTTACCGTGTAGTGATTAGATGGCAAGCTTACTTGGCCATTTGCACTTCTGGTCATTGAGGAAGTTTGCAAACAGGACAGGCAAGTGTGACTAAAAATTCCATTGCTCTCACCGGCTAAAGAATCCTCAGCTTCCCGTGAGCTTTAAAATTTCGAAGCGACAGAAGTAGTTTTCCATCACAATAATATCAAATGCTATTGTTATCAAAGTCTTATCGAAGTGAGAAGTGTATGTCGTATAAAAAATTAAAAGGGTGTCATGATCGGTGCTAAAACACTCATGATTAACAGTGAAAGAACCTTAGTCCTCATTTGTCAGTAAAAGTTTGAGAGATGATATTTATTCAAATGTTGCTTTGATAAAGCTATGAGGATTTTGTGACTAAAATTGCAGCAGTCTGCTTTCAATAATCCTTTGAAAAACGTTGTTTCCATAGATTTTGTTTTTCCCAGTTTAAAAATTTTTACTATGGGCACGATCATAAATATAGATTAGGAGAGGGAAAGTATCAGTGGCTTCTTTGATAATTCATTGGAAGACCCATGAAAACTATTTATGGTTCAATGTAAATAAATTAAACCTGTTTTGATCCTGAATATTCATGTTTAGTAGTAAATCTGAACACACTCCTTGTGGAATGGGTAATATTTATGTTATTTTCTGTCCAACACAGGTTCTGATATTGGCACCCATATTTACCATGATAAAGCTTCTGGTACAGGTGGCAATTTTTTTGTTTACTGTTCTATGTAAAGGATTTGATTTTCCATTAATGGTATTTTTGTGAAAATGGTATGTTGGAAGATATCCTATGAGAAAAACTTGTCTCATAAGTGGAAAAATTTCCTCTGAAAATTGATTTGAACCTGGAAGTATCAGTTGATTACTGAGTGTATACTTCCAGGTGAAGGAATTTCTCAATTACTGAAATTTTGCCTCTGATGATGGGTTAAATTTGGAAAACATGATGATCAACCATTATACTTCAACATCTCATGACGGAATTCAGTATACTTTTTTGCATGTACAAAATTTTATCTTCCTCACACCTTTCTGCACCCTTTTTAGCAAAGAACAGGAGCATAGCTGGGATTTTTCAAAAGGAGAATCACATTGTTTCAAACAGAGGATACTCACATGATTGCTATGTTGACCTCCATACCATGTTTACTTTTAAAAAAGGCTTATAAAGGGGGATCATGGGCATCCTGGGTCCTCCCCTCTCTTGCTAAGCTGTTGAAGAATTATTATAGGAAGTGTTTACCTCTTCTCCTCCCTGGAGAGTTAATTGAGTGTATTCATTGGTCTACTAGGCCCTACAGGGGACACATCTTACTCTGAACAAAGGAGACTTTGGGGAGAGGACAGGGGAATATCATGGACACCGAAAAACCGTAGACCAGAGAAGCTAAGAGATGTACTTAAAGAGTGTGAGGTCAGGAGCTGTCTGTCTTAGTCTTTTTTTCTCCTTATTTTATCAAGACATAATTGAATAGTTAGCAAAGGAGAAATCAATAATTGTTATATCTTTGGAATGTTTTTTAAAGAAAATATTCTTATTTATTGTGAAATTAAAAAAGCTATGTAACTATCAAACTGAGGGCAAATTTTGGCAAGTTTTTTTTTTTTTTTCAAGGACAATACCTTATATTTTCAACTTTTATGCAGGTGTACTGTTACATTGTTCTTAACTTTATAGGGTCTTCTTCTTCAAATGCAGTGAAGAGACTCTTTAGAAACAAAAGTTGTTAGATCAATGAAATTGTAGAATCATTCTTTGCATATTTCTAATCCATCATCTGCTTACTTTGATTTTTTTTCCTTTTTGAAGGATTTGTTACAGCAGAACAGAGTCCTTGATGTTCGATGGAGAACTTTAAGAAATATACAGGTGCATCAGGGTCAGGGTTTGGGTTAAAAAAGAGAAAAAAAAATTAATATTTAAGGAACACACATGAAACTGACAGTTGCAGTGACCTGTTGTAGTGAGGTGTCATTCACTTGTGATGTGTGCCTGAAATATTAAATTAATTATTTTAGTCCTTGACATACAGTTATAAATGTTACTTAATAAATATCCATAGCATACTCTGAAAGGGGGAAAAGGAATGTGCAGTTGTCTGGAAGACTTCTCAGTAATGGCATTGTTTTCTACTCAGGCAGATCCCTGACAGAAAATTAATAAAGATGCTTTTGCTTTTCATGATTAGGTGCTTCTTAGTAATGGATCTTTGATTTCCATCTTGGTGTCCTCTTCTTCTGGTGATATTGAAAAAATTTCCCTTGACAAGAGTTTAACTGGAAAAGTTCCTGATGCAATAAACAAAGGTATGCAAATAAATCCTTAATATGATGGATTTTATGCCTGTGTGGCAGACTTGATTAGTATTCTTTTATATTCATTTTATGACAAGCCTTTTTGGTATGTCTAAGGAACAGTAGAGCCTCATCTCAAAGATGAGGCAAGTAAGGCTAGTTTATATAAAAACTTAACAAATCAACAGTGGTTTTAGCGGGGTCTGTACTCTTATTGACAACAATTTTTGTCAATATTATGGAAAAATATTGTGGACTCACGAGGCGCAACACAGTGCAGGTGCAGCATGTTCTCCAAAACACAAAGTTCATGGAAAACTACACAGTATAAGGTAGATTGGCACACTTGCATTTCATGGTTGATCCTGTTGACTCCAATTAACTTGACATTATATTCACACTTTGTAGTAACTTAAACAGGTAAAAATTAGCAATATGAACCAATGTTTCAGAGTCTTTATGATGCCATTGTCATGGTAAATGTTAGGATGACGAATTCTGTGAGTATTAATAACTGCAATAAATTTACATGATAAAGAATGCAAGACTAAATTACAGTGTTAAAGTGTTAAAGTATTTCTGTAATTTAATCTTGCATTCTTTATCATGTAAATTTATTGCAATTATTAATTCTAGCAGAATTCATTATCCTAACATTTATCTGGACAATGGCATCATGAAGATTCCAAAACATGGCTTCATATGGCTAATTTTTACGTGTTTAGGTATAACTAAATCTCTGTAGTTACTGTAGTAACTTATGATAGAAATACTACCTGTGCATTTCAGTGGTCAAAAGGATGATAAAGAAAAGCTGTGCTAATTTCCTTACATGCTGCTGGAGAGTGACGTATCTTATTTTTATTTTCAGCAATTGTCAGAGACTCTTTTTTGTTGTTCTCGCTAAAGGAAAAACCTAAAATTTGCTATATGTATTTTAACAAAAAACCAAGCCTGGACTTCAAAAAGCTGGAAAAATTGTCAGCCATGGAACCAAAGGTAGTTCTATTGAACTGTATCTTTTTATTCAATTCTGTCCAACAAAACCTCCTATGTTATTTGCTGGTCCTTCTTGCCTCAGAAATGCAGTCCTAGTGATACACCTGGCAGTGCAAGGGTATACAAGTTTTTTCATGGAAGGCATGTAGAAATTCAAGACTCTGCTCCCCCACCCCTATGAAAAATCCTAACTATGCTTCCCCCTCCCTCCTCTTCCTCACACGCTACACCCTATCCTCTAAACTGCAGGGTACCTGTTCAACTCCATCCTCTTCTCTCCAACTTTTCTGGCTTCAATGCATCTTCTCTTTTCCTCATTATGGAACACAACTAAAATTTATTGTAATAATGGATCAATATCAGTATCTTGCCCACCTACCCCTCCCCTAACCCAACATTAACCCTAACTTGTTATCAATTGACTGTTGTTGGGTTAGGGGAGGGGTAGGTGGGCAGTAGCCCAGATATTGATATTGACCTGTAGTAATTTTTATTCTCTTACTGACCTTCTTTCTAAGACAATGTACATTGATCTACCTGGGCCATCAAGTAAGAGACTTGACAGGCACTTGTCAATCAACTCACGCCAAGACATGGTAAGAGGATTAAAATAATTAATAATTAATCCAGCCTGGACCCTGGATTTAATCCTTCAACCCCTAAGAGTGACCAGCATCTAATTTCTCCTTACCATATCACCCCTGAATCAAACCTTAAGGTCACAAGAATGAAGGAGCTGATCACCAACTAAAGAAGCTCTTGATTGTTAGACAAATTCTCCATGTCAGTATCTTAGGAAATGTCTAGAGAACAGTATGGAGAATATGCATACTGATGTTAGGGTGTAAAGAGTCAGAGGTGTAGGTTTGAGTCTTATCCAAGTGGATTAACTTATGTAAGGGAAACTTGGATGATATCCAATAGTAATGAGGCATGAAGTTGACATTAGATGTAACCTTTGATCATTGTTAACAGGCACTGGTTTGGTGGTCTGGCCACAGTGAAGAAGCTTGGCCATGGTCTCCAATGACAGCTGAAAAGGACAGAGCAAATATGGCCATCTTTAGTTTGAATGGGTAAGGATTTTGAATACCACCAGCACATAATTGTTATACAAAATGAATCATTTTTTAATCTGTATCTCTGATTAAAGCTTCTTTTTATTTCTGATGATTATCAAGGCCAAAGATAACAGATACATATCGATGCTGTCCAATAATATACTATGTTAAATTAAATCATGTAATTATAACAGGTTGTGTTCACTCAGATGAAATGCCTGTAAATTATAATGCTTTGTTCAGGTATGTAAATACTTTTGACCTTGTTATCATCAGTGGGACTGAAATATAACGCTGCTTGTAACATCTGTTTGAAATATTACCACATTCCCTTCCTCTCCTTGGAGAGGATAGGACCATTCCCTCTCAGTCTCCTGCTTGCACTTTCCTTTGCATCTGTGGCTGCTTCATTCCAGGTTCTAAGCCTCTGCTCCTTGAACTCTCTTTCTAATGTCCTACATCACATCTTGTGTAGCCTCATTGTTGTATATTTATTTGGTTTAATCATCACATGCCTGAACAATGTTCACAAATATTTTCTTCTTAAATTCCTTAGTTTCAATCAGCCCCACCACATTCTTACCTTGGAGCAGTCATCAGCTGGAGGAGGAGAAAATAGCATTGATAGTTGTATTTATGTTTACAATGGCACCAAGGTTGGTCAAGTAACAATTATGTGCATCAACATTAGTATGCATCTTCTCCATACTGTTCTGTATACATTTCCTATGGTGCTGATAAGGAGAACTTGTTCAACAATCAAGAGCTTCTTTTGATGGTGATCATTTCCTTTATTCTTGTGACCTTAATGTGTGATTCAGGGGTGATGTTGTAAGGAGAAATGAGATGCTTATCACTCTTCAGGGTGAAAGGGTTTAAGGCTAAATAATCCATTCCTGTAGCTGATTATCCTGATTTCCGTAGGACAACAGGATTTTTTTTTTTTTAAATTGCTTTTAAAATTATTGTTTAATATGTGAATTTTACTTCAACAGATTGAAAAACTCTCTACTACCACTATTCCATTAAAAGGTATTGAACAATGAAGTTTAGGTGTTAACTTGATTCGATGTTTCACCCTATTTTTCAATTTATTCATTTGTTTGATTTGTTTTGGTCATAGCAATCATGCAACCCACTACAGTTATTATTACTGATGTTCACATCAATTTTTGTCCTGGTATGCGTTTAGCTTCAATTATTGTTCAACAAAGAAATCACGCTGAAGACAAACTACTGTTGGGATGTGAGGATGGCACTTTGGTATGTGAACAATTTTAAATATAGATGTTATTCAAATTGTATGGAAACTGAGCTTTGCAGTGTAAATATTTGTTGTGGTACTTAAACTAAACATCGCACATTATCTAAGAGTTCAAGTTGTTTATTACATGGCTAGTAATTTTTCTTCTTGAAGATCCATTTAGTTAAGCTAAATTGGAGTCCTTGACAGGTAAGTAACATGAAACAAATGATGAACTATCACAGCCCCTTTAAGAACTTTCCTTGTACATTTGATTGGCTGACTGACTGATTTACTTCCTGACTGACTGGCTGACTGACTGACTGACTGATTTACTGACTGATGGACTGACTTACTGACTAACTATCTGACCGACTGACTGACAGATGGATTAACTGACTGACTGACTGAGTGACTGACTGACTGATTTACTGACTGATCGACTGACTTACTGACTAACTATCTGACCGACTGACTGACTGATGGATTAACTGACTGACTGACTGAGTGACTGGCTGATTTACTGACTCACTGATTGCTTGTGAATGACATTTCCTGATAGATGCTGTATGATGACCACAGACGAGTGACCCAGATGACAAAAGGCAGCCTGGTAAGAAATGTGCACATCACAGCTTCATGATTATACATTTTATTGTAATGTGCTTATGATTTTATTTCATGTATGATATTATAATTGTGTGAAAAATATCCAGTGCACTTTCAGTTGCTTGACTGATTATGACTGACTAACTGATTGACTGACACATTGACTCGCTGGCTGACTCACTGATTGGCTAAGTGACTGATTGATTGATTGATCAAAATTTTGATCAATTGATTGATTGACTGATCAACTGACTGATTAACTGGCTGACTGACTGATTGATTGATCTTGTGTTGAATGATAAATGTGTTGCATTTCCTTAGATTCCATCAATTATACATTGGCATCCTGGTGATGCTGTGGTGCTAGTATGTAGTGCTGATGGAGACATTAAGGTAAATACAACAAGAAATGTGTAGCTTTTAACCCTTCAACTCCCAAGATTTCATTAGTAATTCTCCTTACTGTCTGTCAAACGATTCTTATTATGTTAGTTGGAGAATTTGGTATTGGATCAATTAGCAATTCCATACTTGATATTTTTCTTGATTCTCATTGCTTGCCTGCTTGATATTGTAGTGATATTGTAGGGAGAAATTCTGTCTTGGTCACTCATGGGAGTTGAAGGGTTAACTCCCTTCAAATAATCACCAGTTTTAAATGCAGCTTTCGAGAAAGGTTTCTTTTAGGCTTTTTATCATGGGTGATTTAAATTGAGCTATTATTAATGTTATTGCTGAATCAATGACTAATGAATGTGTGGATTTCTTCTAGGTATATGACATGGCATTGGCTCCAGTCCTTATTCAACTTGTAGCAGAAAATCCTTCCCCACAACATACATTGAAGCTCCGTGAATACTTACTGTAAGAAGATTTTTAACATTTGATGATTACTATAACCCAACAAGAATTACTGATTTTTTTTGCTCAACTTACCAAGTCTCTTAGGTGGATATATTTTTTATAATAAGTATCTTTTTTGTTAATTAGCAGCAAATTGAATTGTTGGTACAATTTCTTTGTGCTGTCTCTCCCCACCCCAAAGTGTAGATAAGGACAAGCAAATTTTGAGCAAAACCAGACAAGATGCAAAGTAGGGGAGGGTAATCTAGAGGAAAAAACAATACTTATGGTCTCTTTATCCAACTGTGACAGGAATAAACTCTAATTGCTATCAATGGATGTCAGGCCCTTTTTTTCGCCTTGAAGAGGAACTCTGTTTTATGTTCTAAATTTTACAGGATAATGTTTAGAATTTGTCTTTTAGGAACCCAGTGAAACTGAATAAGGTGTCCTGGTCATGCGAAGCTCCTATTGGTAACCTCTCGGATAACAGTTTATGTTGCCATGACAACTTGGTTATCTTGTTTGACAGGTTTGTAGTGATACACAATTTTTGACAGCAGGGTCACTTCCAATTTTTCCTTGACCCTTTACACCCTATCATCAGTATGCAAATTCTCTATACTGTTCTTTATACATTTCCTAAAGTACTGATAAGGAGAATTTGTTTAACAATCAAGAGCTTCTTTAGTATGTGATCATTTCCTTTATTCTCATGACCATAATGTGTGATTCGGGGTTATATTGTGAGGAGAAATTAAATGTTGGTAGCTCTTAGTGGTCTAAGGGTAAATGCTCATTCCGTTTCACGGTCACTTTCCAAAAGTGAGTGTCTTCATTTTGAAAATTTTCATTAAATGTTTCTGTCTTTTACAGGGGACCTTTGTGTTTGTTGAGACTTGAATTAGGTGTGTTGACAAATGGACGACTTGGCACAGTGGAGCTGGTGTCAGAGTATATTAAACATGAACAAGCTGAAGAGGTATGTCGTGTGGAACTCAACATTATAATGAGAGAATAGAGAGACTGGTCTCTGATGTTATGAAAAAGTTTGATTATGATAAGTGATACTGGTACCTTTTATTTTACAGGCAGTGAACTTTCTTAACAGTATGAACTGGAACACGGAGGGCAATGCTTGTTTTGCCTGCATGTCCACTATTATGAATTATCTACTAAAACTTCCGCTGAACTCTGAGAGGGAAGGTAATTAAGAAGACCATTAGTTGCAATTTATGATTCTAATTCTCCTCTGGGACAATACAATTTTCCAATTTCATAGTTTACAATAGTTGTGGCAAACTATGTTACCTCCAACTTGACATTTCAGTCCTGAATTTTCCTCCTCAGGTCTTCTTGAAGAGACACTTGGTAGTTTTTATGCACCCAGCCGACCGCTCTCAGATGAAACAGTTCTACATCACAGAGACATGATCAGTAAATTGTCTAGAAGATTCTTCCATCACTTGCTTAGGTGTTTATGTCACTTAACTTATACCTTTTGCTCTTAACATCCCAGTTTAAAAGTCTGTGATACATCTCTTATATTTTTAGCTTTGAGAATCTGCTGTTTGATCAGAGAAGTTCCCCTCATTGATATGATCTCCTGGTCACCTTTCTGCCCACAAATGTATTGATAGTCTTAGCAGAAATTGGGTAGTAAATGCTATTGGTTGTGGAGGGTTAAAGCTTGGATACTGACAATTATCTAAAATTTTGATTACACTCAAAAAAATCTCAGACTGTCCAGTATGAAAATTTTGAAGGTTTTAACCCTTTAATCCCAACTCTCCTTACTGTCTGCTCTACAATTCTCATAACATTAATTTGAGAATTTGGTATTTGATCAACTAATAATGCCTTAATTGATATTTTTCTTTATTCTCAATACTTGTCTGCTTGATTTTCTGTTGATATTGTGAGGAGAAAATCTGTCTTGGTCACTGATGTAGATTGTCCTGATTTCACAATAGATTATTAAATTAAATGTTGCTTTATTTTTTGCTCTTTTACATGGTTATGCTAGATTTAGAAGATTTGAAAAGGCATTTCTATTAGCTGTAGACATAGGAGCAAAAGACCTTTTCATGGTGAGCCAATTGTTAATCAAGATCACTTTGATTACAACCAGTATTTTTACTTGTTTCTACAATTTCTTGTCTTTTTTTGTGTTGTGAAGTTTTTCATTTCTAATCTTTTGTGGTCATTTATTTTTCAGCTCTTTGTCATGTTTTTATAAACTGTAAGATGTTATAATGAAGGTTTATTTTGTTTCCTTTGGTAGGACATTCATTACCTGGCTGCTGACCTTGGTAATTTACCACTTGCTGAAGTAGCAAAGCAAAGAGCCATACAAATTGACAATGAATCTCTAACATCAGGTACATTTGTATCAAAAAGTAAATAATACTAAACAGGTTTTTCACATGACCTGCAAGGCCTTGCCTATGCAATCTTTTTATTAGTAAACCATTTTAGTGAAAAGTTTTGTGTGTCTGTCCAGATGGGTTTAAGTGATCATGATGACCCAGTCAACGAGAAGCCATCTGGCCAAGTAAAAGTAAATCCATTCCAAAGGAATTACATTTCCACAAATATGGGGATTTCTGTTCCCCTGTGACATAATTAGAGACAAAGGTTTTATTATACAACTATTTTCCTATTCTTCCCTGTCTGCTCTATATCAACACAATGTGTTTTAAATTTGCTCAAATGTCATTTCCTAAATTTCACCAACTTTTCAGCGATTCAGGGTGTTAAAGTTTTTTTGCTTTGATTTCTCATTGGCTCCGCTCCACTCTGATTGGCAGCTGTGATAATTTTGGTTTGTTTTTTACAACACTTGAAAGAAATTGACTCTTATTAACACTTTGATTTCATTTGTAAGATACTGGTGAATCATATGATGATGAAGAAGAGGACCTGTCCTACATTGAGGAGGAAATGGCCAATGGTCTTATAAGGAGTAGCGATGGTGTTTATTATCACAATGATGAGTATGATTACATGCATAATCACACAGTAACATCTCATCACCTGATGCCATTGGAGGATGAGGACAGTGATGGTGCCAATTTTATGCAAGGAGCACAAAGAAGTGAGTTTCAGTGCTGCTCATCACTGATAATGTTTATAGAGTTCACTTTCTTCCTTCTCTAAATCGTTGGGTAACATTTTTTTGATGACAGGAAGTTGTAATGACCCACATCATTTGAAAAATTGCAGAAGTGTGATAGGAAAAAATACCAATTTCTAAATAGGTTTTAAAAAACTAGTTTTAAAGGAACACCATTAACTCTTCAGAAGATGCAAAATAAGTGGATTTGGTAATTTTGTAACATCATGTTTATGATGACTACACCTGTACCTCAAAATAGCGGACATTTCATATGACTATTTTCTCTTGTCTGCTTATCTCAAACATACTTGATTTTCCCACTTTGAATTACTGGCAGTTTTATTTTTATTATTATTTCCTGCCTTTGTCTTTCATTCTAGGTCAGCACTATTCAGGGCAAGGAATTGATGAGGTAAGTTTATGGTAAACTTGCATATTCAACTCACATCAATATTAGTACTCCAACCTATTCAATAAACATAACTTACAGATTGATAAGTTCTGCTACCATTTTGATCCTTTTACAAAGCAACTTGTTCTTTGAGTTTGTGAAATTCCCATCATTACCACTCTTTTTTGATTAGGATTAAACAAAACGTATGAGTAAAGATGTTGAGCTTTTTCACAGGCAAGAAATTAAAATAAAGTTTAAATGCTCACAAGGAATCAAACCTGGGACCTAAGATTTCACAGTCATATGCCATACCAGTTTATGTAAGCTTTTGCAGACATCTAGATTGGTCTTACAACTTTTTTCTTTATTATTATGTAAAACATAAGAAATCCTTCCCATTTTGCGATGGGTTTGTTCAGTTATAGATCACAGAAGACTTCAAAATATGGCAAGAATGTCAGTGACACAATCAGATACACCTCATGTGCCACTTTTTTGTTCTTACCACATTTAATGTAAACTGTGACTTATTACTGAACAGATGCTCAACATTGTGGAATCTTTTTGTTACATATACTGATGTTTAATTAGTAATTGAACGATTTTCTTGGCAGCTGGGAATTGATGATTCAGAGGAGATAGCAAATCCTGCTGGAACACTGAAAATTGTACATTTTGGTGTGGTGTGATACAAGTATTATTCCTCATGTTCTGACTAAAGTTTTTTTCAAGCTCTTGATGTATGAATCTCAAAGCTATCACCTTTAAGAGATAAGTGTTGATAACACAAACTACAGCGTTCACTACTATTATCTTCAGAGTAACAATTTGTCTGGCAGATAAAATGATATCTGCCCTTTCTTATATCCTTTTTGCTTTCAAGATTTGATATGCAACTCTCCTTTAACTTGTCCTACATTTCCTTATATATTAGTTATGAGAATTTGGTTACCTATTAAGAAAGCATTTTCTAGTTGATTACTCTGTTTATTCTCATCACTTTCTTGTTGGATATTGTATTGAAATTGTGATGAGAAGGTGTAAGTTTGTCACCTTTGGTAATCAGAAACAGGTTTTAAAAAACCCTCTCTGTTATGTTCAAGTTTACATTTATGTTCTTTAGGGAAGCTACACCTTAAATGTTAACTCTTGGTGTAGATTTATTTAATGTTTGTAATTTTGTGCCAAGTTCTATGCTCCACAAACTGCATTTGTACATTGTACTCAAATTAATGATATTTATACTGTGTTTACATGAAATCCCATATTTTCAAATTTATCTTTATTACCGTTCATTGTACAGGCATGAGTCAAGATACACTTTACATTTTCAAAACATATTTTATGTCAAATTTTATACATTTCATATGTAAATTATTTTCATACTAAGTGCATTGTTACTGCATGTTTAGGTGTTCTTGTTACCCAGTAGTAATACTGATGGTTGTTAAGTAACTTTTTGGCCTCTAGAGTTTGTACTTAAAAAAAATCCTTGAAAAAAAAAAATAAAACTCAACACAGGTTCTTTTGAAAATTTGTCGTAATAAATTCTGTGTGAAAAAGGTTACGAAAAGTAATGTAAATGGCAGGTACAGGCAATTCAGAAACAGAGAAACTGTGCACTATGTTCTCAGATGTTACTATTATAGTCATAACACCTTGTTGGTTAATCTTACATGCTCTTCTTCCAACCCAAACAACTTTTTAATCTCAATAGTCTTTGCAACTGGTAGTACTTATTCCTGTGCTTGCAGCAAATCTTTCACTTTTCTCTGTGGGGCAGTATTTAATGAGTACACCACTCATAATTTACCACAAACTTTTCATGTTTTCCCAACATCCTAAGTGTGTTATTTTGCCAGTAAACCAATAGGAAGTGCAGTCTATTGCTTAACCCTTTAATGTCTAAGAGTGATTAGCATCTAAATTCTCCTCACAATATCACCCCTGAATCACACACTAAAGTCATGAGGATAATGGAAATGATCATTAACTACAGAAGCTCTGGATTGTTAAGCTAATTCTCCTTGTCAGCACCTTGGGAAATGTACAGAGATCAGTATGGAGAATATGCATACTGATGTTAGGGTGTAAAGGGTTAATTAATTTATTTGTAGGAAAAGGAAATATGTAAACTTAAATTATCATGGTTTCATAGGGAACTAAAACCATCTCTAACTTTATATCGATGGATTTGTTTTTCTCTTCCCTAGCTTTCTTAGTAACTAGCATTTTGTCAAATACAATGTTTTCATTTAGTTTCCAGTGTGCTGTGGTGACTCCTGTAGTTGCTGGATTCCAAGATCTGTCCATTTCTGTTCTTGCTCTTTTAGGGAGTCTGTGGCTCCATTGTCTGTAAAAGTGAAAGAGAAACACATGACAAGTGATTTTCAATTAATGAGACAACAGAACCCTTGCACAGAATAGTGTTGTGCAGTGGTTACTGGACTCACAAGAGAATTATTTGCCTGAAAGAGTATCATTTCATCTTCAGGGATTGATCATCAAATTATGGTTCCAACCAATTTTGATGTTTTAAACAATAGTCTAACATCTGATGAAATGTTTACAAATGCTTTTGAGCATACCTTTCCTTCACTAAAACTTTGAAAGCCTTGCACTACAGTAGAAATAATGGTCTATACTCACGGTCACTGTCGTCCACAGGTGGAAGTTCAAATTCTGGAACAGCAATTTCTAAAACAGAATGAGAAGTCAGTTGAAGGTTAAAGTTGAAAAGGGGCTCAGTTATAATCCAATATATAATATGAGATACACTCATATGGTTTTGTAAACTGTACGTGGTTGAATCAAAATAATATTCCTCACAGGGTAGGGGGAGGTGGGTACTCATGGACTTTCCCCTCGCTTTCCCCTTGTGATGCAGTTTAGTGTGGCATAGGAGAGGCATGGCAGCTCAATGATTTGTGCTCTGCACACTGGATCAAAAGGCTGGGTTTGAACGATGAATGAGGGCGAGACTCTTACCCAAAGTTGTTCTCTAATACCCTTGGATAGCATAGCTACTTTTGTTTCGAGCGGCGATTGCCAAGAATAACAACCTGATTTACTGATATGGCACCATTCGATTATCTTAATAAACGAGGAACCAATGTTAACCCGAGACAACAGCTGTGAAACGAGGTTGAACGAGGTCATTCTCCGAACAAACTCTCTGTTCGAAAGGATCTCACGGGCATCTGCCATGAAGATTGCTGAGAGTATTTGAACCAATGAATTTCAACTCTGTTACTTAGCAATATTTTTCTTTCCCGGTGATCTCGAGTTATCTGTGTGAATGCCGAACTGTGCTTCCAGGTTAACGCCGTTCATCTACACACCGTCGTTAGGTAGTTTGTCCTTCTGCCAGTTTTCGTCAATAATTTCCAGCAATCGCCCATCACGATGTGCATATGACAACTCACTATCCTACAAACAGGAAAACACATCAATGAAAATCTTATTATCGAAAAATCATGCAAAAGAGATGAATAAAGTTAGGACGGGCAAATTACCAGCGACATGTTCGAAGATTTGCTAAAATACTCCAGGCGACAATGTCGAGAGGGAACTGGTTTCAGTGCTTTCTTATGCCTTTCTGGGGTGGGATGGGAGGGGACATATATCATTTTCTTTGAATGTTTAGTGGCTAACGTAGAATTTCTTATTTCTTTCTTTATGATGAAAAAATGTTGTTATGGATATGAATAAGTTCAACTGAAGATGAAGAAAAAAAATTAAGGCAAGAGCAAATTAGCAGTGAGCTAACTAGCCCTTTCATGACACAGGCTCACGCTCCCAACTAACAACTGAGAAAGGCTAAGAAAGATATTGCATTGCATCGCGTGAGAGCCCGGATGCTTATCTAAAATTCGGTTTCACGGAGAGGCGCTGATGGGGAGGAGAGCGCTTAATCGAGGGAGAAACTTATTATTCTCCTGTACTGATTCCACTTAAGACGGAGCCTTGAAAGTCTTCGTTCAAGTGGTTATAGAGACAGGTTTTCATTCATGATCTCTACTATTTGAGAAAGTGAGGGCATAGGGTGAGGAGAGGTTGGGGAGGGGAGGTGCTTATTCGATATAGGCGCGTTCTTTTGACCGTATGGCCTAGGCCCTAAGGAATGGGCGCTTATTCGGGGGAAAGCGCTTATCAGAGCGTGGGCGCTTACACGAGGAAATACGGTATTCAATTTGTTGCGGGACATCTGCATTTAAAGATATAGCAAATTAAATTGTAGGCAGCTGAAGGTTAGGAGAATTTGCAACTTTAAGCGTCTTTGCATAGAGTTTTATTATCTTTCTCGTTGGCCGAAATGTAAATAAAATTTCCATTTGACTCAAGGAAAACTTTTAAAGGAAAACTAGCAGTCTGTAAGTAGACCGATAAGACACTTAATTTGTCGTTTATTTACGTCAGACGGGCGACAGACATCTGGTGCGTGGGTGAGAGGAAAAATTATCAGCCATCTGTTCATTAAGTCACTGTCGTTTGTTTTTTTATTACAATTTTTAATTAGAAGTAGGAGGGCGTTATCCACTCGGATGTTAGCAAGATTTAAAGCGTTACAAATAGTCTCCACTTCTTGATTACCACGTGTAAGAATCTGATAAAATGTGCGGACAAATAATTTACTACTGTGTGGCTTAGAGCTAAACTAAAATTGCATTCCGTATTCTTTAGTTCTGTTTTGATTTTCCTGCTGATACAAATAGGTAAATAAATCTACGGTTCTTAAATTAGATCGTAAATTAATTATTCTTCATAACGTCTGAATGCAAATTAGCGTTTGCGTAGTTATGAATAATTGAAGCGGACTACTTGATTGAAACGTCCAGTAACTAGACAAGCTTATTTGCATGTGTCTAAAAACACGGTGAACACATAAAACCAGTTATGGAAGTTTGGGGCGTGTTCTAGGAGCGACCTTTGTTTCAAAACATCAGAAGTATTTCGTGTTTAACCTCAACATTTAACAAGTCTTACAAACTTATGAATAAAGTAATTTTAACAGCATAAGAATTTCCGCCATAATTGTTAGAATGCATCAGTTGAATGTACTTCAAATAAGTGATTTTTTAGCATTTTTGCAAGAAAAAAAACCTTTCCAGTTGGTCAGTGTAAATAACAATTGAAACTGTGCATCTTTTAAAGCTTTTTCGCATTTGACTCTCTTCTACTGTTTTACATCCGGCCGGAAGTTTCGCATTCACCCAGCCCTTCCGTCCCCCACTCAGTAAATACGACAATGAAATCTCCTGGGATCCCCAGAGAGGAATTTATGCCAATGATTTCCTAATTTTGACAAAGATACAACAAAGATGGCCGGCCATGGAGTGAACGCTGAGGTAGAACAATTGAGGTAAGGGTCTATGCTCGCTATCTTAACCCTCTTTATCAATATGAAGGAGCGTTATATATTAAATGTTCAAAATATACAGGTAACAGAAAGATCGAAGCAACACAGAGGTTTATTTCCTTTGAAAATATCATACGTGTCTTTGTATGGAATTCGGATGCGTTGGTTAATTTGAACCGCGTACCGAGAAAACCATGGAGTTTGATTATTTTACAAGGGAAATTATCAGATGCCAATCTCGATATGTATTTGACTCTGGCGTAACAATTTTTTTGGAGAAGTTTTTCCCCAGTTTTGTGTCTGGAAAATAATTTTTTCCGTTTATTTTTACACAAGCTCTTTGTACCAAACGTATTTTAAACATCTGCTGTGTACATTCATTGAAAAATATAGGCTACTGCTTTCTTTGTTGAAAATTTAGGCCACCCTGTTATATTTTAGCGGATGTTTTTTTAACATAAGGAAATAGAGCGGTCGTTAAAACCGTATTGAGTGACAATACCGTGAAAAATGGTGGGCATTTTTTACAATAAAACCCTTGAAAATAAACGTTCGATTTAGCAAGGGGCAGGAAACGTGTGTTGATGTTCAATTTTCTCATTCCAATTTATTTGGAATTTTAAGCAGCGTTCATGTATTATTTTCCTAGAGGTCTCTCTTAATTTTTGTCCTCAGCTAAACGTTAAAATGATTGCCATCTGTATATATCAATAAGCGTCTTGTTTGTGTTTATATATTCGCAGCACTAATACCACGTTGTAACGATATTCCAATATGTATATATCCGAACGCAAATAATTTAGAGATAAGCCCAGGTTATTTTATATTCAAAGGAACCGCTTTAATCAAGTTCCTATTCATTACAAATGTTTTTAAAGGTGAATTTATGACCAAAATTAGAACCGGGCAGAAGTTAGATACTATAGATAGATAGCTTTATTAAAATCCATTGCAGCCAAAAGGCTGGATTACGGACTATACAAATGATTACTTAATACTAATTACAGAAAGAATTAAAAAAAACTAAATGAAAAAAAAAGGCTAAAAAATACTATATACGAATATTAAAATTTGCATTACACATGATAAAGCCATTAGGAATGGAATGAGCCATTAGGAAATAGCCATGTTGTACATGAAACTTAAACTTAAACTTAAGTCATTCAATTATATAAATTGGTTCTCTTTTATCCTTTTTTCCTTCCTTATTTCTCTTTTGTTGTTTTTATCGTGAGAAGCTAATAGATTATGACTTTTCATTTGCTCATTTTTCAGTTGGTATCACTACAATGTAAGTCGTCATGTGGCAGAAGGCTTGTTGATGGCTAATGGTAGAGATGGGAGTTATTTACTCCGAGCTAGTGCATCTAATCCAGGAGAATATTCATTATCAGTGAGGTAAGTTATTTTGATCTCTCAGATCAGTTTGTAAGATCCCAACAACAGATGCACTTAGAGCAGCTGTCTCTTTGGTCAGAAGAATCCTTCCAACTTTTGATAGGTGTATCAGTGGCAACAATTCAAGCTGTTACAATGTAGAGGTGTGGTTACACAGACCCCTCAAAAGGCACACTTCTGCACACAGATTAGACAAGCCATGAACAACAGAGAGTGATGTATAGACAATGATGAGAATCTTACTTTTAAATTGACACTTTTTTTGTTTTCTCAGATGTGCCAGTTCTGTGAAGCATTTTCAAATTGGCTGGGACGGTTCACAGTTTAAATTTGGAATGGGATCATTTTCAAATATCAGTGAATTTGTGGAACATTTTGAAAATAAGCCTTTGATTGGTGGTGATTCGGGTGAGTATAATATGTACTATTATTGAGGTCAAATTTTGAACAACAGCATTCACAGAATGAGTGCTTTCCTCCTGTTATTGTAAGGTGAATGAGAGAAAACTACTTTCTCCCTCTTTTTTTTCATTAACCAGCAGAAAACCTTCATCATGAGATAATTTACTTTATGGTTTATTGCCTTAAACAGGGGTCCTTACTTTATTGAAATACCCTTATCCAAGAGATATTGAAGAACCAACAACCTATGAGAAAGTACGAGTACATGCAGAGTGGGGGAAAAATAGGAAAAGTAGCATAGAAAACTCTATGGATCATTCTGTAAGTGAGAACTGCTTAAAATCTGTGCTTGAAACTTATAAGATTTTTTTTTTTTAGGGGGGGTATGGGGGGGGGGGGAATTAGTATTGAATTTTGTGGTCTGATAGTGTATGTGATGGTCATCCTGAGTACAACTTTTGTCAGTAATTAACATATCCACAATATATCTCGCAAGGGAGTCATCGCCGCAGGCAGCTGGTCTCACCCATTCAATCACCTTAAATAACTCACTGAGAATTGATAATCTAAGATTGAAAATTCTTAATGTGGAATGAGGATATTGTCTTTCATATTTCCTCTGTCTACCCTTAGAACTCCTTGTTGTCTGAATTGCTGTCTGCTTGTTGAACAGTTTTAAGCAAATAAGTGTTCAGAATAATAATATGATAAGAAAATTCTTACCATGAAAAGGAGCCACTGGATGAGGAGAATTTTCTCTTGACTTTTCCAATCAACCCTCTCTCAACATCCTAAACTACCCCTGTTCTGGGTATCTGTGTAAAATATGTTTTTGGTCTGAATAACTTAAGTGTGAAATGGCCTTTTTGACTGTAGGATGGCCAGTTGAGAAACGAATGGGTTAACCCTTTCACTCCCAAGATCCAATTAGTAATTCTCCTTACTGTCTGCCATACAATTCTTATGATGTTAGCTCAGAGAATTTGGTATTGGATCAGCCAATAATCCCATGATTGATATTCTTCTCTATTCTCATCACCTGCCTGCTTGATATTGTATTGATATTGTAAGGAGAAATTCTGTCTTGGTCACTTGTGGGAATGAAAGGGTTAATAAACCCCTTTGCTTTTTTTTTTTTTTTTCCAGTTTGGTTCAAAAGAAGGATATCTCACTAAACTTGGTGGCAAAGTAAAGGTGAGAAAACACATTTTACCACTCTCAAGATCAGATTACAAATTCTCCTGTCTGACTTCCATTCATTTCCTTATATGTCAGGTGTGAGAATTTCTTGTTCTTTTAAGACAATTCACATTTGGTGAAACTAAGATAATTAATTTTCTTGCAGAATTGGAAAACAAGGTGGTTTGTACTACTGAAAAATGAACTGAAGTACTTTAAAACAAAAGGGGTGAGTTGTTGAACTAAGACATGTACTTGCCAAGATAACAAAGTTATTTTAGTTGCAACAAATTTTTCAGATTTCTAACTTGCTTAAATTTTGCAATTAAGGACAAAGAACCTATTAAAACGATAGACCTTGAAGAATGTCAAGAAGTGGCAAGAGATGACTCATTAGGAAAAGGAAATTGTTTCAGGTAACCTTTGAGTTTAATTATTGTGGAAGACAAATAAGTTTTGTTGCACTGACCACCCATTCTTTGGCTGCTCTCAAATGTTTCTTCTGAAAAACAATTTCTCAATATATCTGTTTTGAACTTGAGAGGTAAAGGTAAAAATTTAAACCTCAGGCTGTCCCTTTCTTCCAAAATACTCTACCATTTAGATGATACACAGGTCCCTCCTAGATGCTTTGGTGCAAGTATGTTCAGATACAAGGAGAAAAATAAAATACAAGCTCCCTCGGCGGCTTCCACCCCAGTAACTCTAAGAGCCTATTCACACAAGCCAAGCTAGAGACTCGACCCTTTAACTCCCAGAAGTGATTAATATTTATTATCTCCCTAAAATATCTATACATCATCCAGCAAACAGGTGATGAAAATACTCACACTTATCAGGTAGAATTTGTTATCTTGATCTAACACCAAATTCTTGTAACTGCTTTAACCCTTAAACTCCCATGACTGACCAAGACAGAATTTCTCCTTACAATTTCTCTACAATATCAACCAGATAAGGGATGAGAATAAAGAAAAAGATCAATTTGGGGATAATTAGTTGATCAAATACTTAATTCTCTGAACTAACATCATAAGAATTGTATTGTTGACAGCAGGGAGAATTACAAATTTGATCTGGGAGTTAAAGGGTTAAAAGAAAATGTGTAGCAGCTAGAGGGGAGAATTAGCATTCAGATCTTGGAAGTTAGAGGCTTAAAGCCTTAAATATGGAACAAAAGCTACCTTGTACAGACATTTGAAACTGAACATGCTTCAAATCTTTTTTTCCTCAGGATTGTCATGCCTTACAGAACATTCTTCTGTTATGCAAATTCAACACAAGAAGCTGAAGAGTGGATCAAAATTCTTCAATGGAAGCTGGTAAGTCTCCACCCCAGTTCGTAATAATTGTTGAAGTCCAGGTTAGAAACTGAGCCTGATCGTTAAATAGTGTTAGTAAACAAGACACCATCAACAAATATAATAACATTACTTTTCTTCATCATTATTGTCCTTAACATCATTGTCGTTATTATCTTGGCATATCACACACCCATTAGAGCTTGGGTTTTGGGTTTTATGGCCCTCAATTAAAATGGGTTTTAACCCTTTAACTCCCAAGAGTGACTAAGACAGAATTTCTCCTTACAATATCAATACAATACCAACCAGATAAGTGATGAGAATAAAGAAAAATATCAATTTGTGGGATAATTAGTTGATCCAATACTAAATTCTCTGAACTAACCCTGTAAGAATTGTACGGTTGACATTGAGGAGAATGACAAATTTGATCTGGGAATAAAATGGTTAATATGCCAGTAGGTTAAAAAACTTAACCTTGAGATGAAATTCCCCATTCTCAAGATTTTTTCCGTTACTTTCCAGGAAAATGTAACTGTGACAAGACAAAGGCAATCAACCTACAGATGAGACATCAGCCTATATCAAGAGCATTTTATTCAGATATTAATTTAAATTAAAGTATTGTTTATGTAAATACATATTCTGAGTGAATCAACACTCTTACTACCAAGAAAACTTCTCTGTTGTAAAATTCTCTTTACATTATAGTGCAGGATTTGAACACGGTGAAAGGTGATTGTTGTGTAGTTTGTTTCAATTTCTTTATGTAACTTGATCAATTAGTAGAACTTTCAAAAACTTTAATGCATGTTGTCCAGCAGATTGCACATGATTGAGTTTAGGCTGTCAGATTAGGAGTTGCTAGGAATTATGTTTGAATGAGAGTCACTCAGAGCAAGAAGTGAAGGAAACACCAGCCTCTTGAGTGCTCTGCAAATCTCCCAATAGAGAGGGAATAATGACGTGCCTGCAACAGGCGAACACTTTTTTGAGTCCAAAGCAGGGTCTCATGCTACACATTTCCCTTTAAATTAATTATGAGAATTTGTTGTTTGATCAAGATTAAAACTTTCCCTTTAAAATTTTCCGTATTCTCATTACCTGTTTGCTGGATGTCTGGATATTATAGGCAGAAGTTACATGTTAATCACTTGTAGGAGTTGAAGGGTTACCAATTAGTGTACAGTCTGTCCTTTTTTCTTTTTTTATTAAAATTTAAGTTTTAATTATGTTTTGCCAGTGCTTCCTTTAGGATCTAAATCAAAATCAAGGAATGACTTATTCAGCTAAATTCTATATAATCTAATGAGTGTATGTCTTTATAACTAGAGAATTAGGTATTTAAAAAACTTCTTTTTAAGAGTGCTGCAATCAAAGCACTAGTCTTAATAAAGCGGACTTCTATTAAACTTCAATCTGACTTTTGGATTGTTATTTGGTATGAGTATAAAGCAAGGTGACGGTGACTCCCTTTATGTATAACTCATGGATAACACATTTGTTTACAGGTAAAAATTCATCTAGCTATTTCCCACTTTTTAATTAAATTATTTTTTTTGTCACTCATTACTTAACCTTGATAAACTTTGGACACACAGTGACTGCAGAGAAGTCCAATTAAATTATCCTATGTTGGTAATTTGGCAATAAGGATGAAGAGATGAGGGGAGTTATAAATATCCCACAATACTACTGGTAATACAAAACTCTATTATGGGGGATTTTGGTTGTTTCATGATAAAATTTACCTGATCCCCTTAAGACTCTGTAATATTCTTATGAAGTCCCCCTTGTTGACAGTCCCACCCTTTATCTTCAGTTGATGACAACTGATCTGCCCTCTGCTCCCCCTGAAAACCATGTGATCTCCCCAAAGATCCCCCTCTCCCCTCTCCCCTCCCCCCCCAGACAATAAATGACTGGCCCCTTAGTTCTAGCTATGTGGGCCATTTGGCTTGAGTACAGACTTAACTCTTACTTTAAAAGACAACATAGAATGCACCCCCTTCCCCTAAAAAAATTCGCGTAGGACGTTTGTAAAGGAGCACTGTGATACTTGTAGATCACATTCCTCACACTGAATAAGGGAAGCACACAAGTTCCAACTTTTAGATATTAAGGTTGACTAAAGGAAATTGCCAATCCATTTGTTCACGATTTTCATTCACGCCAATAGCCATTCGTTGCCATTTGGTTTTTTCGACATCAATTTGCACCCCGCGAACCCTCAATCGGGCCAGACTGACTTCAGAAATATCTCGACAATCCTTAACTTCAAGAACACTGAGTAAAGAGCAGTATTCTCCGATCAGTTTTACAGCAGAATTGGAAACTCGCCAACAGCCTCGTAAACCGAGATGTTTCAGCTGAGGACACGAGTTTGCAATGATTCGAACACAATTATCGCTAATACCATAACAGTCATTAAGAAGCACAGTTTGCAATCCATTGCAGCACGAGGCTAGGGAGGAAACACATGAATCAGCGACGTCCCAGCAGCCCGTCAAATCAATGATCTGAAGAGAATTGCAGCATAAAGATAACTGCGTAATGGCGTCGGATGATACCCAACGACATTCGCGTAACTTTAACACTTTCAAATCCGGGTTAAACTCCGCTAACGTGAAGAGTGCTAGATTTGTCAAACTCGAACAAGCAGTTAAATCAAGCTCGCATAGCCGAGTATTTCGCTTTAATAATTCAACCAAGACGTCATCGCTCAGCCAGCTTTTGCAGTTCTTCAGGACCAGCGTTCGTAAACAAGAATTTGATTTAGTCATTAACATGAAAGCATTCGATGTAAGGCGAGATGAAATCCGGCTACAATCTAGAGTTCTTTGCCAAGAGAAGTACGAATCACAAGCCTCTCGGAAGAATATGCATACTTTTCTAAGCTGAAATAACTGTGGTATGGTGAAACAGGGAAATATATGCGGAAAAACAACGTCTTCCCAAGGAAGATTGAAGAAATTTGGAGAAATGACTTGCCTGTCAGCCATCTTGCTTTATATTCATGTATGGGATCAGCCCTATGGGATCTGGATACGAATGACTGACCTCGTCCCAAGCCCCATGTCGTGCGCGCTTCATTCGATCTCCCTCCTTGATAAAATTCATTTCGTGTTGTTTCATTTTATTTCCTTTTTTCTTCATTCCTGCCTTGTTTTTTATTTTATGGTTTTCTTGGGTTGAGAAAATGTAGTAAAATGAATTCATCTTTGAGAAACAACCTTTAAAAACCAGTCTGTCCCGTTAGGGGGACAGGAAAGGCGCGGAGAGTCAACCTCGTTCCCATGGCCTGTTCCCTTACCTGGGGGAAGTAAGGGAAAAGGCCATGAGAACGAGGTTGCGGAAAAGTGGCAAAATTTGAGCCAGTAAATACATGATTGATTCCTCTAAGATTTGTGTCATAATGTCAGACGCTGAAATATTAATTAGTCGATAATTGATGTGTTTGGCCACACCTCGATTTTAATTTGGCATAGACATAAATCGGTTTGTTCAGGTATTTTTATCAAAATATCTGTCTAGACAGGAAGGCGACCAGGAGTGTCGATGTCACTCAGGGGGTCCAACAGCATTAAATAATAGTCTTTGTGTATAAGGAGAGTCACTGACTGTGAAATGATCATCTAAAATTATGTGATTAATGTCCTCTTAACAAAGCTGTCTGTCCACTTGAGTCGCGAGCCAGAAAAGGAGAACAAACAGGAATCTGCTTTTCAAAGAGAAAAGCAATCAAGTGGGAATACATATTCTGCAAATTACGAACACCCAAAAAGTACCTTTTAAAATTTCCACCTCGCAAAATTTCGTCCCACCCAGTGAAGTTATTAAAGTCCTTTTAACCCCCCCAAAAGCCCTCGTATTATAGGTCGCGCACCAAAAACTTAACGACTCACCCTTTACTCCGGATTAATTAAGCCTCTGTCTGTCCAAGTTGTTAGGGCCGACTAGCGGCCGAATAAACGAACTGATATTGACTAAGTCACGGTAGCTCGGTAGCACATGGCTTTTGTCTTAAAAAGTAGTTTCGTGTCGGGGACTGCGATTGCTATGCTCGTTTTTTACAGTATTTGTTCTTTTCCCACTGTCTATTGCACAGAATACGAAAGTATGTGGTTTACAATTTCCTTTTACCCCTGATGTACTCTTAATTAAGGTTTTCTTCGTTCAGTTATTACCGTAGGCGTAGATCAATTCGAGACAACACAAATGTCTGTAATTTGAAAGTAGTACGCAATCACGAGTTGACCTGGATTAAAGCGTTGTGTCCTACAACTACGCGTCCGAAAAACTCTATACGAATTCAGGTCCGCAACACAAATAACCTGCCGCTATTGTGTGAGAACCCTTACGGATGTCCTCTTCCTAACCCTCCCCCCAATCCCCCCCCCCCCCCCCCCCCCCCCCCCCCCCCCCCCCCCCCCCCCCCCCCAAAAAAAAAAATGGTAATCGAACAAACCTCGAACCTATGGCTTTACAATGGATCTTGGTGTTATCGTTCCTCTGTTTAATTTTATTTGTTTTTTTATTTGTTTGAATTTTAATCCCCACCAAAGCCTATCGTTGACGTAATCTGATGTAAGATGGGCGCTGAATATTTTTTATTTTTTATTCAACCCTCCCATCGGTGTTTGTTATCAATAGTAAATCCTCGACCGAAAAAATCTAATAAGGGGGTATGTTTCTTAAGAAACTGTGGTGCTGCGTCAGTGGGAGAGTATAACAGGGTAATTTAGTGTTATCAACTGAGCTGAAAACGTAAATTGGTCAGCGTAAAGAGTTTAAAGGCTGACGTTTCGAGCGTTAGCCTTTCGTCAGAGCGATCGACAACGCTCGAAACTTCAGCCTTTAAACTCTTTACGCTGGCCAATTTACGTTTTCAGCTCAGTTGATAACACTAAATTACCCCCAAAAAATCTAAGCCTAATACGATGCGCAGGTATGTCTGACGCTGCTGCTCTCTTCCCTGTTCTCACCTCTTTTATCTGTCTCCCCTGAGAAGAAACCTACAACCCATTTACCTCATGAGAGTGGCTATCTCGAGGGTAAAAGGAATGACCGCCAACTAAAGAAACTCTTCATTGTTGAACAAATTCTCCTTTTCAGTGCAATAGGAAATGCAGGTAAAACCGTATGGAGAATATGTATACTGATCATAAAGTGTAACTGATAAAACAGTAAATAAAACCCACACACAACCCACAATTCCTCCAATCACTCCGACGAAAGGCTAACACTCGAAACTTCAGCATTTTAACTCTTCACGGTGCTCAATTAACGTTTTCAACTCAGTATGCAAAGGTAGACAAACTCTCAAGGCATGCATAAGCTAAAAATTGAACGGGGATGGCTACAGATGGATAAGACAGACCCAGATTGAAGATGATGGACGAACTATGGAAATTTGAGAAATACAGTGTTAAATTTTACACCACGGACAAATCGTGACATTGCACCAAAAAGGAACTTCAACAATCCAAAGATGATGATGTCGTCATCAAGAACTGTCGGTGACACCCCATAAAAGGAATGATGTTTATCCAGTGGGAACTTCAATCATTTCCGCCGAATGCTATTTTCCCAATATTGTACCCCGGTTATTGCAACAAATTGACCTCCGGGAAAGAATAATTGTGGTGGTTCGAGTGATACCATGATTCGCGCTGAACTTACGTGTTGCTGCTGGTAGTCTCTCAACCGTGAATGAAAGCGGCAAGACAATTCGGAACGACTTGTGAAATTTGTTTGCATAACAACATGTTCTAGACAGTGACCCAGAGTGGTGGTAAATTGAAACGAACAACTTGTGCCGCTTTCATACAGACGTTATTGACAGAAATATATTGAAGGCAACTAGCTTGGCCAAACGACGTGTAAAGGTACGTTAACATGCGAATTAGAAGTCTCATTATTTTTGGTTGATCACAGCCTTCAGCACCGAGTCAAGAAACCTGATTTATCCGGCATGCTTATCGTATCGCCAATCACTCGACTAGTATGAGTCAGTGTGAATTTTCACTCCGAGTTTCGGCTTCCGGGGACAGTACATAATGTTACATCTGTGCTATGATTTTCACAAAGTATTGAAGTTCTGTTTGTGAATCATGGCTTACACTTTAATCATTTCACAATGTTTTCGAACAGGTTCAGCAATTCGTGCTGGTTTTCGATTTCGTTTTGAACTTGAATTTTTTAGCTTTAACCATAAGGAGCTCGTCAACGAATTTAAACTGCTCAAGTATTTAGTTAAAGCGTAAGTATGGGTCATTCAGAGATTTAATAGATTTATCAACCGCCAGGCGGTGTTTCTATCATATTCCTTCACAGCTTGCGAGAAATTTCTTAACCATCATCTATTGTGCTCTCAAGTAGACCAGCAGTATCGCTGTGTTTAATTATAAATACTAAAGGACTAAATAGCGTTCTAAAATGTGACGTAACTTTTACAAAAGTGTTCTTGCTGTTTTGGTAAATTATTTCTCATTTTATGTATAATTAGCAGTCCTAACAACGTCGAAGTTGTGAACGAATAGGCAATTAAAATGTAATTGGTGAATAAATTATTTATCAGCCTCCTGGGAACTGTTTTTCTTTTTCTCATAATTTTATTTATTATTTTTCATTAACGGAGTTCTGATGCAAAACCAAAAGAACATCTTTAAAAATTTGTAATTTTGTTCCAGAAATTTGCGCTATGTGTAATATTAAAGGGGAAATAACGAAGACGACAAATTAATTTTGGTCAAACTCGCCGAGGATATCGGAAACAATATTTCGGTTTCCGTCACAAAAGTGGCAAATTAACCCGAAAATAAAAAAAAACACTTGTTGATTTTCGACTGAGAGGAAAATCTACAGCTCGATAGCTCTTCCAAGATTCCTTTCAAAAATCTCGTGAAGATATGGCTGCTGAATCCAAAAAGATAGAAATAAACTAGACAGCAAACATTACAGTAATCGTCGATACGCAGCCAGGATATCAGTTTTACCCCACAATAGGCCACTCAAAGTCTATATCGAAAACTTCATCCTGGTAACAATGACATACAAAAAGAATCTGGCTTGTTTTCAAATTACAGATTATGCGTTGTTCGAGACGCATTAATATTATCATGACGATGTTTGTCAGGATTTTAGGAAAAGGGGATAAGCACCTCCTACATTGAGTCATGTCACAGAAAAGACAGATTTAGGACGAAACTTAACCTTTAAAGTTGTCGGTTGATAGTAAAAAAAAATCTGCGGATGCCATCCCTCGATCTCTGTGCGTTTTTCAGTTTCGGGTTCAACTAAGCCACTGAGATGATGCGGAACCCGCAAATTCTTTCCTCTGTGATACAGTGCCAAGGGATTTCCTATAATGAGATTTTCCCGAAAACATAAAATGAGATTCAAAGAAATTTTTTTTTCCGGAAAATTGTCTTAGTCTCAGAACTTAACATCTCCTCACGAAAATGTTCTTCTATACCTTGCCGACGCAAAAAAAATGTTTATAAGATTATGGCGAGCGAGAGAACACCGAAACCAAGATTATTTTTTTCTTTTTTCGCTCATCGCTTTGTGACTTGGCGGCGCTGCCATTGTCAAGAAAAGAAAAGAGAAATACTGTAGTGAATTCCCGCCTTTTTTCGATTAATCATAGCGGAGCTCTAGAGCGCGAAGCGCGTCAGTTAGAAACATAATACGTAAGGAAATATGTTAACCTGTCAAAGCAAGGTCTTAGGTTGTAAAGTAAGCTGTTGTGGAATTTTTCGAGCGTGTTACACTACACATAGCAGACCTTCGTTTTTGAAAATTAACGATTTTGGCTCTTTTAAAAATACTCGTCCTCAGCATACTTGGACGCGAGACAGAGAAGTTGACATTGAATGATAACTTACAGGGTATAACTACAGAGACAACGTAACAGCATTCAAGCTTTATCATTTGCTTGTACTGTTTCGGTTATGAATCGTTTCTCTTTCTTTCTTGTTTACTTTCTTAAGTGCTGGAAGTTATTCTTAACTGTGCGATAGGACATCCTCAAAAGATAAGTTCAGACTACATTTGTTTTTGAAACTTTTTTTTCCCGGAAATTTACTAAAAAGCCTCAACGCCGAGTTACCGTAGAACACGTCCAAATATACCTAATGGCAAGGGTGATAGCACTGAGATCACTTCCCGAACCGTAGACCCGTCGAAGAAAAATGTAAACACAGAGACTGTCTACTCCAATGGTGATGTTAATTTTTTTTACCGCTGAGACCGGCGGGTTTATTTCGATCATTTCCTTATCAAATAAAACAAAAACAAAAAAAACTTTAAAAGTTTTTCATAATCAATATTGAATGTCGTAGTATTGTTTAACTCTTTCGCTCAGGTTCATTTTACGTATTTCGAGTTCATGTACCTCGAATCGTTCTGGAATTTATTTGGATTGGAAAATCCTCAAAGCAAAGTGTAATTTATTTAACATGTATGGTGATTCGATCTGCAGCTTTGTATTTTAGCCTTAAAATCTTGCGGATTTTCTTTAACTCAAATTGGAAAGACACTAAAAATATGAATAAATTTTGTTTTCTTTCGGAAAGATAACCCTTCAAAGGGTCAATTCATATTTTCTTTTAATAATTCACGGAAATTCGAGTTAATGTCAAATATCGATATTAGACTTAGAAAAACTGAGCATCACATCTCTGATTGGGTGATAATTTCCCGCCAAAGTCTCGAGACACAACACATTTGTCAGCAATAATTATCGAAAACAGCTGTTTTGGAAAATACGACGCGAACCCGAGTTTTTGACAATTTGAAACTTATTTCAACCGCAGAAGCGACTGTTGTGAAAGCGATAAAAGCTCCTACCTCGAAAATCTCCGCAGCTTTGTATAATTTTTATAGGTATAGCTTTCTTCTCAAGATGATCGAACTGCTGAGAACATTGAAGAATTTCCTTCATTCTTCCTCTGGGTAAATATACATGGTTTTAATATTTCAACACATTTAATTTTTTTCCGCTTGCTTTACAAACATGAATCTCATAACTAGTGTTTCAATTCACTCGAAGAAAAAGCTGTACATTCGTTTGTTTCTTTCTATTTTAAACTATCGATATTATATTAAAGTGCGACCGTATTTTTGTGCGGTTTTATAGAGAGACTTTAAAACAATCTCAATTCAGGAATACTTCTGGGCTATGTGGCCGTGAGTGCTTCTATCTTTGGTCTAGATTCCAAGAGAAGCCTTTGAATAGATCGAAAATGGGTTTAATGTCAGCAACGCCAATTTATGTAAATTCAGAGACGTGCAGCGGGAGAAGATTGCAACGATTTTGCTTCCTACATACAAGACCATAAATAACTAATTTTTGAAAGAAACTGAAAAAAACAGCAGTAATGTTGAGCAAAAATATTTTTCTTTTTAATCAGGATAAAACTTTTGCCCTCTGTTTACTTTAAGTTTTTTCTTTTTCTGCATTTTTCAAGGCTGTACATGTGGTAGTTATGGCAGTTTCTCAGAATTTTTTTTTTGTTTTAGTCGGCTCCGTAAAATGGGAAAATGGCCATCTGAATTTATATAAATATAAATTGGTTTGGTCTTGGTTAGCTGTTGTAGTTCCGCGCAATCAAAAATAAATTCAGTTTGTCTCGCGATAGATTTATGCATCCAGAAAAAAATACACAAGGAAAAAATACATGCGATACAGCTTGAGAACAATGTTGACGGCGTCGAAGGTTATTGTTTATCAAAAAAAAAAAAAAAAACCCTGTTGAAAGGTTGCCGTCGCACAAACTATTATTCGCTCAATTTTTTATGATATTTTCGGACGGTTGTGTATTGAAACGAGCTGCACAAACACTGTGAAAATCTGCTGATAAGCTAGCAGGCTCTTCAAAATATTACACAGCGCACATTTAGAAGGATTATTTCATGGGCATCAACATCCAAGCGACTGTAGATGATGCATTTGAATAATTTGCGGGCGTTTCCCTTAGCAAAGCATTTCAACAGGTGTTATTATTTTGTTACAAAACTTCACTTGTTCTGACCAGAATTTATATAGTACTCTTACAGCAATATTACTTCTCCCATGATCAGCAATTTTTTCGTACAGTTAGTGATTGATCCTTTTCGTTTTCTCTAAATGCACAAGAGCGCTTGTTAAGACTATCTCCGTTTGCGTGTACAACAGGTGTTTAACTGAGATCCGTTGACGCATTGCACGGAGATATGGAAAGAAATATGGCAATCTTTGTTTTAAACTCGGTCTTCAATTAAAGAAAAAACGCCACCAGAATGACTCCGACACAATTTTGAGTCTCCCGTAAGTTCTAAAATCTCAGCTCTACCGACTGCACTGTTAAGAATCCGTCGTTGAGCGATGCCGCATAAAAAGATTTACATGAGGGAATCAGAGGCAGAGGAACCAACTCGTTACAGAACGGTAACAAAATTATGAATTTCGTCGGATTTTTTCCAATAATGTTTTTTGGCGCGCGACCGGCAAAATTGATTCGCTCACGTATGCTCGAGATTTGACCGCTTTGTTCATGCTAAGTGAGCATTTTTTTAAAAATCCATTGGTGCAACAGAAGAAATATTTGAGGAGCCAAGTCATTGGTTTAAGCGTTTTGAACAATTTGGAACTGAAGGCGATTTTTCTCGTGGCGAAAAGGATTAAAATATATTTTGACGTCCCGTTTTCATGTACTGCGTGTTATTAAAGTGGAACCAATGTTAGGCTTCTCTTTGTTACCATGACAACAAATTGAAAATCGTCTACCAGTTAAAGATTCGTTCTGCCTCTTTACCTTACCTGCCAGGGTTAGATTGCAATACATAAAATTTTTAAATCCTGATTGGCCAGATTTGTTGCTTTTCAACAGATGTTGTGCCTTCCTTACTGATAAATTTGAATTTTACGTTTAAAAAAAGTAATTCGCATAGATGAACAATTTCTCGATCAATTTATTTTTTAATTTGAACCAGATTTGGCCTGACAACCGATATAAATGCTATATTTTACCTCATATCTGGTGCCAATGGTAGATGGCAAAAGGTGTTAAATACCTCTTTTGTGCAGGTAACATAACCAGCTAACGCTAATATCAATGTGAGGTAACGCAATATCTGTCACGCAATACCTACGGAAACACGTCCTTTAATCATTTTCCCAACATTTGTATTATTCCGCTATTTGACACGAGCCAGAATGAAGAGGACTTCTCATCTGACAGTACCTAAAGTAAAAGTTTTCTCCGAAAAAGAGAGGTATCCCATTAATCCAACTTATCTTAAATTTACATGCGGTTGCTTCAAGATGGCCGGCTATTTCAATTTTCTCTTCTTCAACAGAAAAATGCCATCTGTTTACCACGAACATTGTGGCAAACCTGGACCGAAAAGCAACGATTATGTTCCTCCGCCTGAAGCGAGATATTTCAAGTCTCGGAGTGCTCCGAATTCCCCTTTAATGGGAGAACGGAGATCCGCTACCCCCAGGGACTCCCCGCGTCTTGCTCGAGAAGTACATCGACTTTCTGAGAAAGTGTCGCAAGTGAAAAGCCCGAGGTCCCCCAGAGTGGGACGAAGTAAATCTTTCAACTCTAAAGGTATGTACTGAAAAAATAACGCTAATATCATGTTTATAGAATCATATATTGCATTGTTACAACTTACATCACGTTCTTTACGGATTCTCTCTCGGTTCGGTCTCTTTATTACACATTGTGAAGCTAGGATAGCCTAACGCCAATATTCTAATCTTTATCAGTTTATCTTCATACCTATCTCTGCTTTGTTCACATTCATAGATTTATGAAAGGCGCTAGATCTAATTAACTTTTTGTGACTTGTTTTCAAATTTGAAAATATAAGATTTCGGGGTTTACAATTTGTTAAAGCACTTATCCAAGGACGTTTGACTCAAAATAGACTACCAATTAAGATATTTTTTGATATTGCTTTAACAAGCACTAGCACAATTATTGCCTTAAAACTTTGACTTCAGCGCCCATTTTAAGCTAAACCGATTCTGTAAACTTTGCTAATTGCTCCGCACTCCATCGACAGCTTTTATAATTTGTTGTCATTTTTTATAGTCAACTTTCAGTTAAGCTATTCAGATAAGTTATAGGGAAGATTAGAAGTAGTAACAAATATCGGAAACAGTTCGGGAATGCTATATCGCATTAAGAAGGCAAACATAACATATTGCCTTAATGAATCATGCTATTAAGTTATATCCTACGTCGGGCTGTTTAAAGGATCTAAGTCACAGGTACTGTGTTGGTCATAAATATATTAGTTGTTTAACATCATTAGAAAAAACCAGACAGGTTCATGGCTTTTTTCCAATCAAAATATCTTCCGCAATACCCAGTCCCCTCTTTCTTAACCCTCACCAATTTTTTTTATGCAAAAGACTGGGATGGAGGTTGCCTTCGCAATCAGGTTTAGTCTTGGCTCTTCTTCGTCTAGATAAAACGCACTTCTGATGCGATACATGTTGGGTTTCTTGTTACTGCGCTGTACTCCTGATTGAGAGGTCCCGGTTCGAGCCCTGGCCGGGTCATTGAGTAAGACCAAGAACAAAAAAGGGACGTTATTTTATCTTGATAAAACACACTGCCTCTCTCTACCCAGGAGCATAAATATCTTATTAGACTGGTTATACAGGTTTTTTTACAGTACTAAATAACCAACTGTCCAAATAACCGTAAAATATCGCAGGATATTTGTACTCTATTCAGTTGGATAATAAAAATGGATACCACAGCTCTCTCAATGGAATCTTAACAAAGGCAGCGAGTGTGGCAGGGGTAAGCTGGGATGGATTGTAATCCTCTCTAGGTGGGGAAGCAATGTTCAGAGTCGCTTCGTGTCAATGAGGATAAGCTTCGGTCATATGCGTCATTAATCTTTAAGCTACCTCAAAGTTTTACTGCATCTATGGACGTGAATGAAGAAGGGTGATTGAGAGTGCATGGTGCAGTTTTAAACTGGAAGAAATTAAAATCTAAAACCAACCACTCGCTCTGAAGTCTGTATTTTCTCTTCCCCCTCTATTTCTTCTTTTTTTATTATCATTTTGGCTCACCTCTTTCTGGCTGGGCCTACTTTTTTCCTAGGGAGGAGGAGATATCAAACTGTTATCTTGAATAGGTTTCTTTCGGCCCTTGAAAAAGAAGACACTTAGCAAGAGCAGTGTTTTTCAGAGTTTTTCAGAAACGTACCGCGGGTGACATAACGCTCTGCGTTTATTATCATGCAGGGAAGAATTTTAGGTTAAAGAGATTTTTCTAAAGGTTTTGTTTATTTTGTTAATAGCAAAGGATTACGGCAACAAAAAATGTTCGGCATTTATGTAAACCCTGGTAAATTTTTCAACCATTCTGTTTCTGATGTTCCAGTCGTTTTTCCTTTTTTCCTCATCCTCTCCTTGTTTCCCATTATTTTTCTTTTGTTCGTTTTCTATAAAAAAAAATTGTTGTATTTACACCGTTATCTCGCACTCGCGGATTTTTCCATTTAGAAAAGATTGAAAAAAATTGTTTACAATACACTCGAGGAGACAAATTCTTACGACATGACCAAGAGCTCATAGCGAAAGTTATATTTAGATAGTTTGACACGGAAAATTTATATGAAATTCTTTGACTCTGCATCAAAATTCTGTGTTAATAGTAATAGTGTAATAATATTTATTATTTGTTACGCGCATGTTACATGTGCATATGATCAAATGCGCGATTAAAAAAATGTGCTAGACAAGTCGCCCAAAAATAGGTTACAGGAAACGATTTGTGGCTTTGAGCGTTTAAGAGTCTTGTCAACCTATGCTCTGCTGGCCTTCTGTGTGTAGTGACTGAGTCAAATCCCCACTCCACCCTAGACAGAGCAGCTCTTTTGGTCTGTTTTTAGCGTGACGTCATTGGCAGCTTTGCACCTTGCCCGCGAGTACGAAGAATTCATAATCGTATGTCGAGGCTCGAGAGGTCAAATCTAGCGGCAAAACGCGATGACTGAATGTCACAAGTGCGGTAAACTGGTATATTTTGGTAAGTTTAGTAGTTTGAAAACAAAATACCGCCCGTAGTTTCAAAAATAATGCTTTCGATGTAGCAAGAAAGCGTGATCAATTTTGATCCGCCCGGAATCGATTGCCGGAACGGGGACCGATGACAAATTACCCTGACACGGCGGTCTTCGTTTGGGAAAATTTTTCCTTGTGATTTATTTGTGTGATATTTTGCAGCGGAACAGAGGAACTCTCTGGGAAAAGTCTGGCATCCTGGCTGTTTGCGATGCGAAGAATGCGGTAAACGATTAAACCCTGGCCAACATTCAGAGGTATAGTACTGCATTAACTTGATTTCACTGAGTGGTTTGCCCAATTAAATAACGCATTATTTGTCAGTTCTTCTGGTCTATATACATTTTTTCCAGTAGAAGAGGCAATAAAAGATTTATATTTTGTAGTATTCTGTAATCAAATTCAAGAAACGAAATACTTTTTCTAAATCGTGTATGCACTTATAAACATTAACTCGAACGAAAATTTTTCTGAAGAATATTAGGCCTAACGTTTAAAACCTTTGCGTCCGGGTGCAAAATTTCACGATAATGTTTCATGAAGTTTATGTATGACGGCTGTATAAGCTCTTGGAGTATGTTGTCTGGTGGGTTCTTTTCACACTTTTTGAAAACCTCTGTACGAGAAAAATGCTATAAATATTGTTAATATTATAGTAATGTTCGCTCAGTCTATTAAATTGCGTGTTAAAGGTGTATCACGCGATTATTATTTTTTTTTGAGCTGGGTGCGATGGGCCGTAGATCAGTGCATTACGATAAATAAAACCCAGCTCTCAGATAAAAGGAAGAATAAGCAACTTGCCTGTTTGTTTAATTATTAGTGCGATTAACTTTGTAAAATAAACTTATTTTTGATTCAAAATATTTTTGTCATTCATATGGAAGTTTATGTCCGACAATGATAAAATTTCAACCTGTCAAAGTCCAGGGCTTAGCTGTTTATTTTACAAATAAAAAAAAATAGCTTTTTGGCCTTAATTTAGTTTAAGTAAGGTAGATAACAGCCAAAACATTCTTGACCACAGCAACTCGTTGTAGGTCAAATATTTGTAATGTTACTTCGAGTGAGTGTTCTAGATGCTAATTTTTTTCCTTTGGGTGCTTTCTATTAATAACCGCCTGGTCTATTTCCAGCTAGTTGCCAGTGATTTTATGTCAAAGATATGATTGTGAGTTTGTTGTAAATTCATCTTTGCAACATCATTTTTGAGAGAGATCACACTGAAGATTTTCACAAGTAACAAATTTTGGTCAGGGTATTTCAGAGTTCAAAAACATTGGGCCAGTTATTCCCTCAAGTTTTAGCCTTTGTTTAGAAAAACTGAATTCCGAGCCATCTTCAATAATTTTCATAAAAGCTTTTTCTAACCTTTTTCTTGTAGACAAATCTGCAAGTCTATTGTTGTAAAACTGCTGTCTGAGTTGAACTGGCCTCACTAAATGTTTCAACTTATTTTCAGGCAAGATTTGGAGATCTCTTTAATTTTGTTTCACTTTGCTTGAACATTTTGATCAGATTGGTCTACTCAATAATCATCTGCCATTTGTGACTTATCGGATACAAAACTTAAACCCGACACTTTCTTCTTCCTGTACATGAGACATTATACCTGTATTCTCCTGAAATCTATATTACTTTCTTGTGATATTTTCTTTCATTTTTGAATGGCCACTGTCATTATGTTGGTTATAATTTTTGGTTTAACGATAGTTGTTTGCAATGTGGCCTATGTAGGCTTTTCTAGATGTTATCTTTCTCGTGACCAGAAAAATCTGATGAAAGAGCTGTGACATAATAGTTGGGTATATGTTGTTAACCAATCACATTTTTTCCTTTTTCTGATTTGGGCAAGTAATCATAAATATTATTACTGTAATATTTTAGGTAATTACAGCATGTACATACTATGTTTTTGTATCAAGAACAAAGGGTCAAATTTGTTTCTTATAAAATGAACATTTGTTGGTCAAATTTGAGAAAAATTTTCATAGAAGCTTCCTGTTTGCAGGGAAACAACCATTTCCTCTCTGCTTCTGCCAAAAATAAATTTGTAATCATCATGCTTAAAATGAGTCCACATTTTTTTCCTTGGTCCATTCCAAGATTCCAGTTCCTATTTTTCCATTTCCTGTAATGATGCAATGCACGTTAGTGTTTCTTTACTTGCATTGTTCTCGGTCAACTATGGAAGCAGACGCATTTTTGATGATTCAACGAAGGGTTCCTCGTCTGTTGTCAAACTGGGTGGTAAATAAGCCTTTCTCTGTCTTTTTCTGTGTCTTTTATGATGTGAATTTCTGGTTTTGTTGATAAATATGCCATCATCGTTGTGGTTAAATGTTACAAGTTAAAACAGCACAATATAACATCATGCATCCATTGACAGAGGTCTTTGTTATAAGAGATCCAAACATTCGGACTCGATCTCTCATATAGGTAAATCTAATATGGCCACTCTTTGTTTCTGGCATAAAATAACTAAATTTAGCGGAAATTTGTGACAAGAAAAAGTCAGAATGATTTCACATTTAGCGGAAAGAAATATTCATACGACACACATGTGAAGTCCTGCCTATTCATAGTACTTGTACCTGTCTATTCATAGTACTTGTATTTGGCTGCTGTCCGAAGTCATTTTGTTTATGATTTGAATTTTAAGAGAAAAGCTAACAGTTTGGAAGAGTTAAATCAGTCAATTCTCAATGGTTTCTTTAGAAAAAATATTTTTTTATTTCAAATATTAGGAATTAAAGTATTTTTCCTATAAATAGAAGTTACAGCATTATTTTTGTAATATATGGTTTACCTAACCTCTGACAGTCGTATTTTATCATTTTTTTCTCAGTTAACTTTGTACTAGAATATTTATTTTACACAGTTTATGAGAAAAGCATCTATCATTCGTGAAAGTGTTAAAATTACAAATACAAGATCAATAGGTATCATAACTAGAATACTCAAAACATAATTCTGTGGCAAGATAATTTGTGTTGAAGTTAAATTGTTCTTATCAATCATGTTGAGGAAGAATTTTTAACTACTAAGTGAAGTGCAGCACATTGTATATGCCAATATTGTGAGTGGACTTTGGAAATATTTACTGACAGGAATTAGATATCTTTGGGTACAGTCATATCATTTGTAGCCCTTAACCCTTTAACTCCCATGAGTGACCAAGACAGAATTTCTCCTTACAATATTAATACAATATCAACCAGATAAGTGATGAGAATTAAGAAAAATATCAATTTGGGGATAATTAGTTGATTTAATACTAAATTCTCTGAACTAACATGATAAGAATTGTATGGTTGACAGAAAGGAGAATTACAAATTTGATCTGGGAGTTAAAGGGTTAAATTCTTGGGGACTTTTTTCATAAGCATATGACTGTCAGCTTCATGTATTATTATTTAAATTCTTATTTTCATGATATGATTGGCGAAGACTTCCATGAGTGTTAATGAAGAGATTATTGATTGTTATTCATGTGCAAGTTTCCAAGCTAATTAAAAGTTTGGTAACTCAAAGTATTAGTGGTTGTAGCATTTTCACTATATACTATTGGTCCCCTTCGAGCTAGAAGGTCAACTGGATGTATCATCTTTATTTGAAAATGGCTGCATCATGAGACCAAAACATTATTCTTCACAACAGATTTGTTCACTTAATTTAACTTTACCTAATTTGGACAATCAAATGATAACATGACTTTTTCATATATTATATTTGATTCTGATATTTTATGCCTTTGCAGCACAGAGGAATTCCCTATTGTAATATTCCATGCTACAGTTTGTTATTTGGCCCAGGTGGATATGGCAGAGGAGGAACAGAATCATATCAATATTTAGCAGATGATAAGCTTACACCAGCTGAATTGGACGCCATTAGGTATACATACCTTTTATTTATGATTTTATAGTTTCATGTCATTCAGACAATGTCCAGCCAAGAGTTTTGATCATTTTTAACTTTTTGCATGGGTTTTCCTGTTGTTCTATTTATTTACTATGTAATTTGTTTTTAGGAATGAAATTATTCCAAAGCTGAAGGAGTATAATACATTTTTTGAGTCACGTAAAGCTCTACAGTTAACAAGCAAAGAGGTAAAACTAATAATCATTCTGTAGCAAGACTAATAAAGTCATGGAACTTACTGGGTAATCCTTCAACTTGCACAAGTGACTAAGAGAGAATTTCTTCATACAATATCAATACAATATAAAACAGACAAATGGTGAGAATAAAGAAAAATATCAACCAGAAGGTTATCAGCTGGTCTAATACCAAATTCTCTTAATTATCAACCAAAGAATTGTATAGCAGACAGTAAAGAGAATTACTAATGAGCTTACAGGAGAGAAAGGATTGAGTTAATATTATAGAAATAAACGAAACTCTGAAAGGGTGATTTTTATCTCAAAGATTATAAAGGAACAAATTGTGTTTCTCTGATTATTATTATAGAAATTTTTCCAAAAATCTCTAAATTACTAAAATTGAGTCACAACTAAGGAAAGGATTCTATCACAATGCACTGTGTTCTCAGGCAAAACACTTGAATGTCACAATATTACTCTCCAGCCAAGAAAATAAATGAGTATTAGCACAATGCAGGAGGACCTAACAAAGTGCAGGTGGACAATCTGTGTTGGTCTGGCATCCCAACCGCTTGGAAAATCAATACTTCTTGTTGCACCATGCCACAGAAGCTGTGATAGACTCTTGCAGATGTGCATGTCATTTTTTAAATATATATTTTGCCTTTTCTCACTTAGCTCAGTGGCAGACTCATACTTGAGGGGGTACTCAAGATTTACTGGGGTTTGAAGGTGCCTGTTACACTTGCAAGTCACAACTTGTCATATTGGAGGAGACGCTCACAGAAAGAACAGAATGGTTACAGAGGATCGGCTGTTAATAGAGTTAAAGATGGAATTGTAAGTGGGTTGGCTTGAAAAAGAAGGAAGCTTTGTAAAGTCCAGTTTCTCTTTATTTTAATTGCATTATCACATGATTTCCCAACATTTAAAGGATTATTTTTTTGACTAGATTTCTTGGTTGAGTTCTTGTCAAGCATCAGGTGTACTATTCTTTCCTCAGTTTATACAAAAATGATTAATTTTCTCATTGCCTGTCTGCCTGACAATGTATTAGATTGATAAAGAGAAATTCCACTCTGATTTATCAGAGTTGATTTTCAAAGAAATTGAAAAATGGTGTGGCATTAGTGCTAGGTCCACATATAAATTTGTCCTTGATAGCAGCACTCCTAGTCACTCATGCTACATGGGATAGGTTCTAGCCGCTATGCTGGACAAGAGGTTGAACTTACATTTATTATAACAGTAACTATTCTTTTTTTCATTTTGCCTTTAACTAAATATCTACAGAGACCAAGGACAAGTAGTTTAGAGAAGATTCTAGCCAGGCGCCGGTCCATTAATAACAAAAATATTCCAGATGCAGGAGATCAGAAAACTATTCTTGATTTCACAGTTCAGGTGAGAGCATTATCTTTCCATGTAAGATAACTTCAGTTTTATCTAAATTCTTTACAGGTCACTGGTTTGTTTTAATTGATACTCTTGGACCTTTAACTGTTAGTTCCTGTGTTGGTGAACTGTAGCAAAGGCAAGAGAAAGTACCCAACTTCTGAAAGTATTTTGTGCATCAGCAAAGGATCATGCTGTCTTAAGAGAAACAATCCTTTCTTCAAAGTATATGAACTTGCAATCTCTTGACATGGCTGATTACATCTTTCTTTACAATAGCAATGTTTGTTCATCAACAAATGAGTTAACAAATATGTAACTGTGGAAGACAAAATATGTAGCTTATATCATGAAAGTGACAGCAATAGTATTTTGCTGAGCCACACACATTTGAGTGAGTGAATTTTAAGCAGTGGTTGTTTTTTGTCATCAACAGTCCCCAGAAGGTCACACAACATTTATTCCTCCTTATGGGACTTCAACAAATTTGCGTGTGACAAGCAGAACCAAAACAAGAGAAGTTATAAAAATGCTGATGACTAAATTCCAGGTTTGAAAGCATTTACTGATAATTCTTATGATCTAAATGTGTGGTTTTTTTTTTTTTTTGAATGATGTAATTGAGGAACAATTTTCAGAAGGATGTCACAAGTTATCTTAGATGACTTTTCTTTTTCTTCACTGCACTCTGTGATTGGTTGAGAAAACTCCCATCTATCCTGTCGGCCAATCAGATGCAAAATTGGTTGAAACTTTACTTTGAATTCCTTGCTCATTTTCTTCTGGTCATGTTAACCTTTGGTGTGATAAGCTCTCAGTGGTGATTTCTTCCGTTTTGACTTTCTGATCCTTGATCCCAAAGTTTTTCTTTTAAAAAAAAATGCCCTTTGGTCTGAAAAAGTTGAAAGTGGATTTCTTCATTCTGTATCACAGGTTTTCTTTTTTCAAACTTTGAATAACTCTTGTCAGATATTACCATAGTAAGAAGCTTCATATACCCGCATTCCTTTGATGATAACTCAGATAATATTATCTGAAATGTCCTGGGTAAAAGAAAATATTAGAGTAGTAAGGAGCTATCAATGAACAAAGCTGCTGATTTTTGAAGTATTCAATCAAGTCTTGGAACACACTGTAAAACAGCACTCACTAGCCAAGGATTTTGATGAAGGAAGTCTTTTTCATCTGTTTTTCAAATTTTGCCTACTATTTAGGAGTTATGTTTTTGTGGTGGGCCACTGCTATTTCAGAAAAATTTCTTATTTGGGGAAGTCAGACAATGGGAAGTCTATCATTGCTTTAAAATATGACCAAATGCTGCTCCCACCTCACTATAAATCTGAAATATTTGTCCCTGTGTCTCTTTATTAGATCACTGATGCACCTCAGAAATTTAATCTTTATGCTGTATATGACAATGGGTGTAAGTACTCTTTTATTTGTAGCATTCTTTACTTTATCAAGTCAGTTTGTCTCACAAAGATCTGTGGGATGCCCGCATTTTTCAACTTGCTCAGATTTCAGTCATTTGTTTTGCATGTGACATGATAATTCACCACAACAATCTGATGAATTTGGGTGTGAAATCCACGCCTCTTACATCTAGGTTTATCTCTTTTTTTTTTTAACAGCAATTAGACAACTTCAAAAGGAAGAATTCCCTCTATATTGTCGCCTTTTGTTGGGGCCCAGTGAGGTAAAGTATAGCCTAGAAGACAAATCAAAACAATCTTGAATTGAAACTTTACATTTTTATCAATTAGTAATGCTTCAATTTTTGATTTTTTTTTTAGGAGGCAGCTAAGATATTTGTTATGGAGGCTGATGATACTAATAACATATCTCATGAGGTTTGTTCATCAAATTTACTGCTATTATTAAAATTTTTATTAGATAGGTGTCTTTCTGGTTAAATGCATTCCTCTTTTAAGACAAAAGCTGTAACTTTTTCACAAAGTCCATCAATTCCCAAGAGTATAAATGAGTACAGTGAACCTCAAGCAAAACATGGAAAAATGGTGGGGGAGGAGATGGTAGTCTGCTTTGTACTAAAGTGGGGAGAAGATGCTTCCTGAAACAGAAACCTAAGATTAGTTACAGAAGTTATGTGTCTCTTGTTCTCTAAGACTGTACCTTACTGTATAAAGGGGGTAAGTTTCTAAAGAAACTGTGGTGCTGTGTCGGTGGGAGAGTATAGCAGATTGCTCTGATGAAGGGCTAACACTCGAAAAATCAGTTTTTTTATCCTTTATGGTGGCTAATTTACGTTCTCAACTCAGTTGTTAACTCTAAATTACCTGCTGTACCTTACTGTAGCTTGCTTTTGTTTATATTAGGTTGCACAATACATTCATTTTGCCATGCCTGTGTTACAAGCCTTCCTGGAAAAATATCAGGAAGAGGAGGAGAGAGAGGTTGAGAGAGTGAAAGAGTGGTACGTACTTTATCTCATTTGATCTTGTTGTCTGATTGTCCTGGTGAGAGTAGTCCTGATAATGACTGTTGTTGCTTGTGGAGGCTGATGTTTCTACAACTTCAGCTAAGCTTTAGAGAACATCAATCGCCACTTTGGACAATGGCCAGGACTACACTCATTTGGACAATCAGAATACACTATCACATGTTAGCCCCAGTTTCAAACCATATACTATGGTTCAATCATTTATTTTTTATATGTAGTGACATAAATGTCAGTACAAGTTTTTCCTGGTTCATTTATATGCTACTGCTGGAAAAATTTGTATCAGAACAAGTTGAAATGGCAAGTAATTAGTTTGGTTGCTTTGCTAAAGTGATAATTTGATTGTGGTTCTAAATGTTGTGACGATATAATGTAAGGAGCAAAAGACAAAGCATTGTTAGGTTTCATATATTAATCTGTTGGTTTATCTAATGTTTTTAGTTACAAGCTTTACAAGCAGAAGCTTCAAGAGAGGCTTGCAGAAATATCCACTGCTGTATAACACAATGGCTGTCCAATAACCAGGAGCATTTTAATATAATGATATTTTTATGTATTTCAAATAAATATTATTTATTTGTTTAAAGAGATTTAGCCTTGTAAGTAAGTCAATAAATTTTTATTAATTTAATAATGCAACAGCTTTGTAAAGATGACAGGTTAAATGGCTATGGTTTTTTTTTTGTAAAAAATGTACATACTTTTCTGTATTTTAATTATGGAACAGATAAACAGAAAGTTAGGAGAGAGAGAGAAAATTGAGGTGGTGCCTAGGGTTTGTTAATTCTACGTCAGTTATCTATGTAAGTTTCGACAGAAATTGAAGTTTATTTCCTCAGACATTCAAGAAATACCACTTCTGATATTTTCTGAGGTGTTTTCAGTTGTTTTATAGTTAATAATTTTCATTGACAAATTGATTGCTCTGTTTTACACCCTTACACAGTTTTCACTTAGAATAATGTATTGAATTTAGCCTTTATATGAGTAGTTCAGAAATTAAACATCTGTTGAGAAAACTAGCCAAAAATACCTCTAGTGGAATTGAGAAATTCTAAGTCCTACATCCTACATCTACCAGTTAATCACTTCTGGGAGTTAAAGGATAAATTTTTCTTGAAGAGACCTAAATGGTAGTTCTGAGGTGGTATAATGAGGTGACATGAGTGGCATGAAGGGGCCTGGTAGCCAAATTAATGATGTAATAGCCTCCCCCGGTGTGCCAGCTTGGATTGAGGTCTGCATTCTCTTCTGTTGTTAGTGAACAAACTTTTTTAACCCAGAGTATGTATTCCTGGCCAACTGTCTGGAAAAATTAAATATCAGTGCTTAAAAGTAATTGAAAATCTTTTAACTCTCAGACCAAGTGCACCATACTGGACACTGTTTTGACAGATTGAGGGTTGAACTTAAGTTGAGTTGAAAAAGGAATTAAACCAATTTTATTTTGGATCATCTTTGTGTCTGTTTGTGCATTATTACAACAAAACAACTAATCATCTCAGTAACATTGTCAGTAAGATGCTGCTGTACACAGAGGGAAGGAAGAGCTTTCCCCAGGAACTCCACCCCTGTTTTATGAGTGAAAGTTTGTTTAAAATATTGCTCATCACATTAACTTAAGGCATCAGTGGCCATTTCATCTTCCTCTACGCAATTATGACCGAAGACCTGCTCAAGGTTTTGGAGAATGTTGTTCCAAAATTACTTCAAAATTTTTCTCCTTTGTTCCCATATATAAAAGAAGCACCACTCCTTTTACAGAAGTCAAGACTTTGTCACTGAAAAGAAGAGTACTATACCGCTGTCAACCAATTTCTAGAATAGCTGTTTAAAGCTTGTAACGCAACTATTCTATGAATGGGCTTACACGACAGACCAACTGAAACTTTCAAAATGGCGACAGTAGCGGAAGCCCTTTCGTATCTACGAACTTTAACCTCGAATTCACCCAACACTCCACCAGCAGAAAAGAAGAAAGACTTTGACGAGCTTCTTATTTTTAATATGCAGCGTTTAAGGGAAAATCTCTGCGAGAAAGGGACATTTCCAGAGATAGAGCGCCGATTACAAATTCAAACAATTGCGCACGTGAGAGAACTGGAAAAATCTGATCACACATTCGATGGAAATAAAGATACTGTTGAGAAACTTCATGCAGATAAAGAGAGTCGAGAAAAGGAATTCAAAGATTTTATTCGGTGGATTTTCGTGGAAGCATGTTTAGAACTTGTAAAACTGTTGAAAGAAGCTTTGATCGGCGTTGCAATCGATGGGCAAGCTAGCGGCAAGGAAGATAATCAGAATAGTGGAAAACGGGATAATGAGGTACCACAGTTGCCCCCAGATACTCTCGGCGTTACTGATCAAAAGACAGTATTGACAGCTATTCAATTTGTGGTCATATTGGGAATTTGTCCAAATCTGTTATCTGGTGTGGGTGTGCCTGTTGAGAAGCGATCTGGATTTTCCTCATTACTGAACATTCGTTGTAGCATCAATAATGAAAGGCGCTTGTTTGAATGTATTAATACACTTGTTGACTGCATAGAACAGCCCTCATTGGGTGCATTGATTTTGTCAAGACATTTAGGAGATGTACTGGCTGGACTTTTGCAGTTATGTTATGCGCCAGTTGCCGCTGACTCCAATAACAATAAAGGCTCAACTGCTTCTACAGAGAGGAAAAGTGATATCTCTGATTCTAATACTTCTAAAATTGTACATGGTGAGTCTTGTGGGGATCCCAATTCAACTACTGAAAATCCCCATAGCACAATAAAAACTGAATCAAGCGCTGAACCTTCAGTGAAAAGCACCTCTTCTAATAAACTAGATCCAGGTGCTCTCTATGCACTAGAAAAAAATCCCCCAAACAGGAAAGAAAAAAATGATGAACAGTTATTCATTACCTCGTCTGAAAGGGAAAAATGTAGTCAGGATCTTCAAAGAATTCTAGATCGTGTTTACCAGCCGATGGTTGTCAGAGATCTCCTGATGCTCCAGGGGGGATTGTCAAATGGTAGGAAACAACCTGGGAAAGTTAGTTCCAGGGAAGCATCTGGTCATCAAAGAGTGAATCATGGAGGAACACCGGGGCAGACTCCAAGGTGGATGAGAAATATTTGTGGCCAACTTCTTTCTGAAAGGCTCATGAAGCAAAATGGAGTGAAAGCTGTGTTGCATGCCCTTCTTGAAAGATCAGCAGGTACAGCAGCCTCTTATGATGCCAATTGAGCTGGCACAGCTCCTTACATCCCACCTCACCACTCTGTCCTTTGAAAAACTCATTATGATCTGCTTGAAGATCTAATCAGAAAAGTGCAAATAGCCTGTAGTTACAGAAATTCATGACTGTTGAATTTTCTCTTTTCCTTTCTCTACTAATTATTATACAATTATAGTTTATATTTAATTCAGAATGTAGTCAAGTTACTTGGCATATCTTGTGGTATTTCAGGTGGGGCTGGCTCTCCTGACTGGAAGAAATGTGATGTCATTGCCAAATTAATAGCAAACTGTCCCAGTCAGGCAGAATCTGTGGAAGAGTATTATAAGTTAGTTTCTCCACAGGTGAGTGGGGTGTTAATAATCTACTTTCCGCAAGCATACTTTCAGCATTACTTTCTGGTTGAATAATAGACAAACTTGGTTAACCTTTTTATATACCCAGACTGATCAAGGATAAAAATCTCCTTATATGTTAAAATTGAAAGATATAAGGAAAGGTTGCAAAATTAGGGGACCCACCAGTGGGGAAACAATAGATTGTTCGCAATGTGTTTGGCTACACTGTAGCAACATGTTGCAAGATGTGATATGGTGTTGGATCAAGTTTGAAAATGGTCAAATCTTTTTTGCAACATTTTTGGTTGTTGCAAAATGTTGCATTCATTTTGCTAGCTCTTTCATAAAATCTCACAACATGATCCAACGATGTTGCAAGATGTTGTGTAAGTTTGGTCAGGCCTTAAGTGACATGATGTTTAGGGGGTATTTCAAGGTTTAAAATTTACAAGTGTGGGATTTTATTGTTGCATACTTGTTTTGTTGTTGTTTTTATTAGGGGGTGCATGGGAGATATGGGAAGAGATAGGACCAGAGGTGGGATTTTTTTGAGCGGTGAAACCTGGATGATTTATTTAATGGAAAAAATATCAAATCATCAGCTTTTTATCTCTTATATCTCCAGAATAAGGTTTTGATTACAATCCTAGATTGATTTTTTATAGAATTGACCATGTGAATCTTTGACTGTGTTACCTTTGGAACAGATAATCCAGTTGTTACATGGGCAGAGTGCTGGTGTTGGAAGGCTTTATATAAGGACAGCATCAAGTGTTATAATGGAGATGTTAATTCAGTATCCAGAGCTTGCTCAGAGATATGTCATCTCTCCTATCATTAGACCTTTGGCCCAAACCACTGAGAGGCAAGGTAGTTGTGAAATTTGTTCCTATGCAACTGAAGGGATTTCCACTGTTATGGTGGGGTGGCTCTGATTGAATAAGGTGCTCAACTGTGTCTTCTTTGCTCTGACAAAGGGCTAATGCCTGAAAGATCAGCTTTGAAACTCTTTGCAATGGCCAATTTATGTTATCAACTCAGTTTAGAATACTAATTTACCCTGTTATACTCTCCCATGTAGAGTATACCCCCTTTATTTATGTGTGTTCTCATGGTCAGTTATGTTCTGCTTTTGCCACTTTGGGTTGCACCTTGTGCCATGCACTGTGAATTTTTCACAACTTATCAGGATCTGTTGTCCCCACTTTTGACTGCATCTTGGGCTTTACAGACCTCCTTCTCAGGCATTGTTAGAGAAGTCATCACCCTCCATCATTCCTCTTTTCAAGGTGCATAGCAAGCGAATGATTAGTATGCTGGAAATTCTTTTCTGGAATGAAAGGTCTGGGGGAATGCCTTGCTCAGGTCCTTTAGTTGGGTTCTTGAGTATCTCTAAGCTATAACAAAGAGACAAAACTAATACTGAAACTGGAAAAGTGCTTTTCTCTAACCAGGGGTAAAACTGGGTGCTGCTGAACTTCTAGGGAAAGCTGATACTAAGGCAGTGTGCTGGGGGTAGAGGGGAGGGGAAGGGAATGGGGAACAGTGACAAATTAGCATGTTAAACCAGGGAAGTAGCAATGTTCCATTATAGGAACCAGTAATTTAAGATGAAGTGTAACAAAAATGGGGTAGAAAGTTCATAACTGGTAACCCTCTCCTCTTATATAAAGGAATGAAGCAACAATAATATTTAAAAGGGTAAAGTTGGCCCAGAGACTAGTGGCTTTCAGAATTGTAAAACTAACAAATTCTTAATAATCATTTTTAGGAGGGAGAGCAGGAACTACTGTTGTTGATGAAAAAAAAGTGGGGCAATGTGTTGAAGACATTCACAAGGTACATTGAGGTGTCTTGTAGACAGTTTTTGTCTGATTTATCCAGTTTGATACAATTTAGTGCATTAAAAGTAACAAACAGCTTTTCTAATAAAGCCATATGTTGTTAAGGCAAAGTTAAACTTTAGACAACTGATGGCTTCTGATGTCTGCTGAAGAATGCTTAATTTGATTTCTTGCATTGATTTGGGGGAGAGGCAATTATGAAAATTTTAAGTGAATGGAGTGTGTCACTGAGATTTTCAAACTCTGAAAAGACAAAATTGTTATTGACTGTGGCATATTGACCTCATAGAGCCACATCTGGAATATGTGGACTGAATAATATGAAATAAATGTAGAAAAAATGCTAGAACCTCAGACACAGACCAATTTTGGGTCTGGAATCAAGGAGGAATCAAGACCTAAAAAAACATACCCCAGCTTTACATCAACAATTGCCTGTTCAGAACGAATGAGGTAGTGTGCCATTAAGGCAAAAGGAAGAATTGGTTACAGTACTGAACAGTTGCTGTTGAGAAGTTACAGCTCTGCTGTGAGGTCAGGACTTACATGTTTCTAATCAATAATTTTCTTTTGTAGGTATTTGTTTCTGGGTCACCCAAAAGTGCCATAAAAGTTTTGTTGCCAATTGTTCATCCAGTATTTGAGCTCTTCTGTTTCACTAGAAAGGGAGTGTCTCATTTAAGGTGAGCATTTGTGTTGGCTGAAAATGGTGGCAATTTGTAGAAATCATGGCCTTAGGAAGTAAGAACTGTAATATTTCACAAGTGACTTTAGGAAACAATAGTGGATCTCTATCATTATGTTACATTGCTCACATTAGGTTATTATGCTGGTATTGCGACACGATTGATTTCATTATTGTTTTGTTAATTTTTAGGTCTGCTCTCCAAGAAATTCTTGTTCATGTACTAAAGCAAGTTGAGCCATGTCAAGTACTCCATCTTCTGTATACCCTGGCTTTCAAGATGAATCCTTCAGATAATTTGTCATTATCAAAATCTTCTGCACACAGCAATGGAGCCAGAAAAGATGAAAAAGAAGTAATTGTCATTCCTCTTATGGATGAGAATTTTATGTTTGCATATGGAGATGAAGGTGGAGCTTTAATCAGATATCAAAGTGCTGAGGAGCAGTTCAATGCAGAGAGTATCTTGAGAGATTTACAAGGAAATGACTTGAGTGGCAGTGAAGTCCAAGCCCAATGCATTGTGGAACTTCTGAGGGGTCTAAATAAGGATGCTATTGCTGGAGACTTCTTTATTTACTTGACGCAGGAGTTAACAAAAATCATATCAGACTTCTCGGAAGAGATTGAGTACAAAGGTAAAGTACATATTGTGTCCACTCATTTTTGGGGTCTCTGTTTTCATGCATTTTTTTAAAATTTTTTATTGAGTCTGTGTAATCACTTTTAATAATTTAAGTTGCAAATTAAAGTCCTTGAATATGAAACATTTTATTTTTACTTACAGTTAACTGTTTTTTTTTCTTTGTTCAGATGTACAACACAATCTTTTGATCCTTCATCTTGTTGCGCTTATGTGCGAAAAGCTTGGACCTTCCATTCTAACAGACACTCCTCAGATGTTGGCCTTCATAGAGTCAACACTGATACGCGCCTGTGCCATCATTCATGCAGATGAGCAGGGACTGGGACTGGCATTTGTCACTGAGACTCTAACCATGGCCCTTGGGATGTTGTCGGCAGCGCTGAGTGGAGAAGGAGGAGGACTGGAGGTGAGGTGTAGAATTTGAGATTTGATCTGGTTTATACTCAAACGGGCAATTTTCAAGCGGCTGTTTCAGATAATAGAGCAAGTGATAGTCATGCATTGAATTTATTTCAGATGAAAAAGGAACATCGTCCCCTTGTTCAAAATCTTTTGCCCTTACTTGAAACACTTGCTGAGCAACACTCTTCGGTAGAGGTTCGAGATATGGCGAGTGATCTGCGCATTGCCATAGCGACACACGGAGCTGTGTGGAGCCACAAAATGGAGGCTGCAGCGATGAATTTTGGGAAGCAAACCGATGCTGTTAGGATAAATTCTGAATCTACAGCCGTCAAAGGTATGTGCCACTCGTGGTCCGAAATTGATTCAACTTCTTAGCTTTTTTCAATCTGGGACATTCATTAAAGCAGCAAACGTTTTGTACTTAATGTGACACGATTCCTACAGAAAGCTGTGGAAGGCCGAAGCATTTTGTCACTCTCGAAAGAGTGAATGAGGGATTGAGGTTTCACGAGTGAGAGAAGAGCACTTCACTAGCGCCTTACATGGATCAAGGGACAGGCTGGACTTTTTATTACTATGAATCATCACTTTCTCCATAGACAGGGGAGGAAGCACCCACCTCCAAGAGCCAACTCTCCCCCCCCTCCCCTCCGTTAGTGGGCCATGCCCTCAATGGTATACTTGTTCTCTTTTTCATTGCGTGTGTTTTTCATCTCATTTCCTTTAGAAAACGCAAACACTGAAGAAAAAGACAAATTCGACGAAGCCTTCTCTCAGGTCTGTGATCCTTTGATTCCCGTCCGCGGTCATGGTCTGTTGCAATTAGCTTCCCTCCTACGCCAAAGGAACCCCAAAGCTGTTCAGGCCACAGACACGTTACTGAAGATCTTCTTGGAACAATTATCTCACGACGACTCTTACATTTACCTGGCTGCCATTCAGGGGCTTGTCTCTTTGGCTGATGTTAGGGCAGATACGGTCATGCCACAACTCGCTCGCGAGTTTGTTGCTTGTAGGAAAGACGCTGGGATTACCGCTGGCTCTACAAAGGAGGCGAATGACAAGGGGTACTATAAACCAGGTGACATAACTAAGTTGTGTTTGATATCTCGATTATCACATGTTAGAGCATGAACTTGTTGTTCTTAACGAATTTTTGATACCACATTGGCGCGCGTGCCAGTCAACGAGAGAGTGAGCAAAGTTGTATGAAACTTTCCTGGGCATTTATTTTATAGGGAGTCGGGGGTGTCCTTGAAAGTGGTATCATCACGTCAAATACTAATGGTTTCTGAGTGGTTGGGATTTGATTGCATTTTACACGTTTCCTATCACATAGCACATACACACACTCTCCACAAATCACGGGTCGCGCATAATGCCGTAACATGTATTTCTCTAATACTAACCGTAACGCTTCCGAACTTGAGGAATATTTATCAGTCCCGAACCATTATATGGCTTACCTCACCAAAAAGTTCACCGTGCCTTAGTTGGTAGAGCAACTGGCCGCGAAATCGAGAAGTCTGGGTTTGATTCCTCTTGGAAAATCAAATTAACCCTTTAACTCCCTGATCAAATTTGTCATTCTCCTTACTGCCAACCATACAATTCTTATAATGTTAGTTCAGAGAATGTAGTATTGGATCAACTAATTATCCCCAAATTGATATTTTTCTTTATTCTCCTCACTCATCTTGATGATATTGTATTGACATTGTAAGGAGAAATTCTTTCTTAGTCACTCATGGGAGTTAAGGGGGTTAACAGCTCGCGACTGATGTTCAAAATTCGTTTTTGTATGTTTATTTATTTGCTTTTCAGTTTCATGTGGAGCAAACCGATCTACCAGGTCTCCTGAATTAAGAATGAAAATCGGAGAAGCATTGGTAAAAGCCACAAGAATCTGCGGTGAACTGGTGCCCAAATATTCCCAGCATCTATTGCCAGCCTTGTTGACAGGTGTCAAAGACCCTGAGCCCTTGGTGCGGGCCAGCAGTCTGTCTAATCTTGGTGAAGTGTGTCAGTTGTTGAGGTTCTCTCTGGGTCCTGTCGTGAACGAGGTTGGTGCGATGAGAATCTGAAATATCATGATTGAGTGTGTTAGATTCCCCGGAACGGTGGCTGGAAAAGTATCTTACTTCATCGTGCATTAAAGCTCTCTTCAAAAGGCGGCCCAAAAGCCACATACCCAACGCTCCTTAGCGATTTAAAAAAAGCACAAGAAACGTAGATATGTGATAGGTAAGATAAAAGATGATTAGGGAAAATCGAAAAATTAAATTCACACGTTTCTCTTTATTTTTCTTTAGATTTTCAGTTGTGTATCTGCTGTACTAAAGACAGACAAGTCGGCCGAAGTCAGACGCGCCACAGTCCTTGTCCTAACTTTACTACTTAGAGGACTGGGGAAGAGTATTATGGAGGTAGGGAGAGTAACTAATGTGGTTAAGTGAAATAATAAAGAAATAAAAAGAATCCGACAAATGCTAATGTGTCACAGCTTGCCCAGCAGTCCATTCCGGTTCCTTTCAGCTTTTCAGGAAGTCGCGCGAGGGCTCGCAACGAAAGCGAAGAGAAGGGGGCAGAGGACTAACACAAGGGGGCATACGCTGAGACATTAGAAACGAAAGGCTCGCGGATGTTTAGAGTTTTTTTTTCCTTTGTCGCTTTATACGGGTCTGTTGTGTGTACCTTTTAGTTGACATTGGTAAAACAGTAGCGTTGCAGGTGGTTGTTGGATTTCAAAGAGCAGCGGAAGTCTTGCATTTTACTTCACTATGCCATTCACTTCAGAAAAACGTCAGTGCATAAGATCCCCACTGTTTGGTCAAGATGTGTGGCTCACAAAGAAACTGGCAAAGAGCAATATATTTTGAATTTATTCCTCTCTTTTATTTTTTTTGTTTTACGTCATTTTTAGGTTCTAAGCTCGACTCTGAGGGAAATCTACCAATTGTTGAAGGTAGTGGAGTCAACAGATCCCGATGACATGACTCGACTTCATGCGCAAACTGCTCTTGATGAACTGAATAACATAACGAGAGAATATTTGTTTCCTGAACCTTCCTTTACAAAACGTATTCAAGTGTTACCTTGATACAATCAAGCTACAAAGTCATTTTAAAGTCAACAAAAATTATTTTATTTACGAAACACATCGATAGATATAAAGATAACGAGATGCTTTATCTTGAGAAAAAAATGTGTCTGTCGTAACCCGTACAAAAGATGACCACGGTGGTAATGCGCAGACCGGTGGATGGACCTTGGGTAGAAGAGCCGAGAGTGATAATGAGTGGGGGTTCTCATGTTGTGTTCTTGAGCAAGACATAACTCTAACAGTTCCTCTCGTCAACGTGGTTACCAGAGAGCCGTCTGCCCTCAGTTTTCTTCGTTTCCTGGTTGTTAGTGGCGAGGATATGTTGGCTTAAAAATTTGGCAATATTTAATAAAATTTTCTTAAATTTTCGTAATTCGCATCGGCAGCCATTGAGGAATATTTTAACTCCCTCTTGTACCTTGAGTCAGGTGGGGAAGGTACACGAGCCTATGCTGCCTCACTTCATTTTGATTTGCGTAACATGAAGCGACTAGGAGTTATGCTCTCCCCCTGGATGCTCTTACTGCGCAAGTTACTTTCCCCCACCCCCTATCTCAGCAATTGGTTAGCCGGTACCCCCCTGACAATGAACCAGTACCCATTTTAACTCTTGGGTGGAGAGAGGTACTCTGATAATTTATTTCTCTTGCTCAAGAACAGCTCCCAATACTCCCCCCGCCTCCCCCTCCCTATCATTTTAACAGGTTTTCCTGAATCTTCACTGGTTCATGTATATATCCTTGGGCGCAGAGAGCCAGAGCTGATTAAGGCCCGACCCCAGTCCACCTCCAATCTTCATCGCTGAAAGTTCACATCTGCCCTTGGTGGATCAATTGTACCAACTCCTTTTAAAATGAACAACAAAAAAAAAAAAAAAAGGACAAGACTTAAAGTTTTAATCTCTTCCTGGGCTCAAGAACAGGTTTTGCCTCCCTTTTTTAACAAGATGATCAAAAAGCTGACATAGAGAATGACTTACAGTGCCAGGAGCTTAAGCCGGGCTCCTGGCTGTGCTTAAGAATCCAACGGGGAGATTTGCAAACTCGATTATGTTCAGTTGATGATGGTGTCAGTTCATTGTTATTATTGTCTCATCTTTTAATATCTTCATTCAGTCTTAGCTCGTGTAATCATCCTCTTAGCGAGACCAAACAAACCGCGATACGTCATAGAAGTAAAGTAAACGATGTCTTGAGCAATGCTTACATCCAATTTATTTTTTAAGGTTCAGTGGGGTTGACGCTATAAATTATCATTTCACTGGGAAGTGAACAAATTTGTCAATCATTTAGAGGAAATCTCAAAGGATAAGGGTCTCCATATGCCAACCACAAGACAGTTTTATTTCCCTTGTTTACCAGACATAACAAAAATTACCCCACCAATAACTTATAACAACAGCGACCACAAATATATAACTCGTGATACACGATTTTTTGCTGATTAGATTCTAGAGTTAAATATTTCGAGCCTTAAAGTCCGCGCTACTGAGAAATCAGCTGTCACTTTCTTTGTTTTATACACTTTAGCCTACGTCTCGCAAAAAAAAAAAAGGGAAGAAAAAAACGTAATTCCCTGGGGCTATTCGAGCTGACAGCTCCACTTTACCTCTCGCCGGCAGCTAATTTAGACAGTTTTCCGATCTTAAGAGGGCTTAAAGATTTTCAAACGTTAATTTAGTTTGTTTAATCTTTAGCTTCCGCTTTATCTCGATTGAGGAAATCTTTCGTGAGTTTAGCCATGTCCCTGAGGTGTCCTGGCGTTTTATAGGCTCGCATTCGCGTCCAAAGTAACAAAGCGTAGCTTGAGTTTATTTTTGCGCCGTAAATTGCAATTCATAGTTAGGAAGACGATAATTTAATTTGACCTTCCAGACTATACTAGCACGCTTCTTTCCCTGACAACTTTGATGTCTCGGCTTAACTGCAGAATACCCCACCACTTTGGTTCACCTCATTTACATGTGTCGGGAGGCTGTGAAGATCGAGGCATGAAACAACAAAATGTTATTCTTATTCATTGAAGTGTAAATGAGTGGCAAGGTATTCTGCAGCTCAGCCGATGTCTCTCATCATGGTTTTGCTTAAACAAATTTAAGATAAAAATACTCGCGGTTTTTGCTTGTTAGAGCTCGAGGTGGTGTTTCAAGGAAAATCGATTGAGTGGAAATGCTTCTCCTTTTCACGTTCTCTTTTTTAAATCTTATTTAGTGTTTTCTACGCGGCAAACTAGCCGAGGTATGCGGGACTAAAGGAATAGAAAATAATGAATAAATCAGTTTTGGAGGGAAGTTTACATTTTCAATCAAAAATATTTCTTTCTACGCATAATTGCTACCTAAAAAAAGTATAATTCTTGTTCAGAAGACAACACTTATGTTTATTTCTTTACAGCTATCTTAGCTTCTTGTTCGCGTTATGGCCTAGTCAACCACTGTGCTGCTGAAGAATATTCTCAGACAGCAATGTTTCTCACCTTTTTGTCGGGTGATTTTTAATCAGCACGCAGTTTTAGCAGACAAATATCCTGTTCACCTTATTCTGTCTGCGACCGTCATTTGCAGTGATCTCACCCTAAGTCAATTATACTCCCTTGTTAACCTACTTAGGACGTATTAAATTTGCTGTGTAAGAATTTAGTCCAGATACCGGCCCCTAACCCTCCCCCGTCACACCCCGAATTTGATACACCCTTCTAGAAGACCTGATCAAAATAACATTGGTGCTCAGTAAATACCAACAATGTGTCTTATGGCAGCATGAACTTGAGGGGAACAAAATTAATATCAACAGCCACAGTTGCATCCGCAAGGAAATTATTTTTAGAGTATTTTTAGAAACTCTGGATGCTCAGGCGCTCATGGCCATGACAATGGTTTTCTATGTTATGGTTAAACTTGAAATTCTTAAGTCTGGAATATAGAGACTGAATTTTGCAAAACAAAGCAAATTCTCTAATCAAAAGTTGCGAACTGATTTACCATTTCAGTGTTTCGTATTGTGTATTTTCTAGTTTTTTTTTTCTTCTTCATGTTGTATGTCAACAAAGAAGAGTAACCTTAATAAGTAATCAGTTCTCGTTCGCATATTTACTGCCCAGAGAAGAAGAGTTTCAGTAGAAAAGCTGCACAGGTTTCTTCATTCTTATTTTATTCGAACTATGAAAGCATCAACTGAAGCTGAGCCAAAGCTTTAAAATGGAAATGGTGAATCGAGAAGACAATCATACAGAAAATGCTCGCTGAACAAAGATACGAGACGAACCTAAACTGGATGTTAAATTTCTCCCTTTATGTTTTGTTTTTTTGTCCCAGAAAACCTCTTGGCTTAACAAAAAGTAAAATTATCATTGCAGGCACATGGCGGATTTGAACCACCGACCTCTGGTTTACTAGACCAGCGCTCTAACCAACTGAGCTAATGCGCCTCCCCCGTGAAATCTGAGGAAATTAATGTATTTAAATTTTAAGCAAGTTTTTGATTGGGTAAAAGTTGTCATGGCAACACGACGTTTTAACAACGAGCCATGGTCGTGGGTACGTAAGTAGATGGAGTGCGTGTAGACAATTGTATAAATATTGTCACGGATCAGTTAAAATGTCAAACTGCGTCTTTGAACAATAGACCACCGCACTCACTTGGCCTAAGGGTTTATCACTCACAGGGGGCGATCCGACATCCCAGTTCGCATTATTTACTCTTTCTGTATGATGAATGGCTTAATTTATACACCTTTATCTCGTACTCGACATAAAGAATAATTTATTTTGCTTAGCAGTTCGCGGGAGACAGATGAGAACGATTAGCATGTTTTTCTCGTCTCCGGCGCTTCGAAGATCGATGAGACATTTTCCTTTCAGACTCCGCTTGCCAATCACGAGTGAACACAATAACTTGGTGTCGACAGTTAAAGCGAAATAAATGCTGCGACACACCGGCTGTGAATAGTGTTTGGCCAAAATAGTTTAAGATTACTATTTTCGTTTTTCAAGTCACAAAAATTTGCATTTCAAACGTTCCTAATTCAGAATCTTCAAAAACGCACCGACGTCAAAATCGATCGAGGTTTCTTATTTCTTTCTCTGCCCTCGCGACACAGCGAAATTCTTTGTGATATGATCTTAAAATATGAGCAATTTCCGACCCTAATCCCCCGGTTGGAGGATTTTTTCGCTAAGTTCTACTGTTTTGGATAACTGTGAACAGCTGCGTTGAAGAGTTGAAAATTACAAGGTTTTCCGGACGCAGTTGGACGCGAAATAATTCGCTGGATATGTTGAAAAGGCTTGATTTAAAAAAAGTGATTTGTGAAATCTCTCATAAAAACAGTACTCTCTGAACATTTTGCGAGGCAGATTTTGAAAAATCCGATATTAGTTCCGCCATGGAGGCCTCTCGTGTTGTATTTTGACTGCGGCAGCCAAACCGGAATCGCCTTATTGCGTTCGACTCGAAATTGACGAACGTCGAAAACGCACGCGCGCAAATTGGTCACGCTTGATCAATTTTCGCGGCTTCGTTTCCCACGTGGGCGTGCATTTGTCGGCTCGCAAACAGACTGTTCCCACCTACTAGGCATTTGGTTGGCTCGGAAGTGGCTTGTGGCTGCGTGAATTTGCGTTCGATCAACGACAAGCCTGTCTGACACTCGCTACCGATATCGCTTGGAAGTCGCTCGCAGCTTCAGGCAGAGTCAACTTTTCGTCGTTGCGCCTTGGAATTGGCGGCGTCCTTCGAAGCTTTGATCGAAATTTGAGAGTTTACCTGTTAAATGTTATTGATGTCACGGATTGTTGGTCGTGAATTTTTTTTTCACGACGCTCCGCGACTTGTCTAGTGATTAGCTATGGAAAGCAAAGTTGAACGGCCAACAACACCGGGAACGAGAAGCGAAGCTGGCGAGAAACGATCAGGCGATTTTGAAGATGTTGTTCCTAGAAAGAAGCGGCGAAGATGCGGTGCTTGTGAGCCTTGTTTGAGAAAAGTAAATTGCGGGGACTGCAGCAATTGTGTCAATAGAAAAACTGGTCATCAGATATGCAAGTTCCGTAAATGTATTGAACTGAGAAAGGTGCGAATATTTGAACGAACGTTAACGATTTGGAACAGGGATTGATATAACTCACGCATTTATTCCCTGCGTTGTGCTAACGAAGTTTTCGCTTGAAAATACTCAAGGGTGTGATTTCATTTTGGTTTTGCAGAAAACGACAAGCAACGTTGGCAAACGCGAAGGGGCTCAGCTGCGAACGGCTTTGAACGAGGACGACGTAGGTGACAAATCGCGTCTCGTGAGCTGCGAAGTCGTCGAACCCGATAAGGTAAAGAAGTATGATCTCGACTCAGAAGTAAGCATCCGCTCATATTTTTCGAGTTTAAACAAAATTTTTCATTCCTGACCACAGGGATATTTCTTTAATTTCTGCCGGGTATTATTAGCAAAGTAATTTTGATGCGCGCGTCTTTGGCTAATATTCACTCCTTATTGTTGTGGTTTGCGTTTTCTCTCAAAGCGAGCTGTCGGTGAAGGTGGCGAGAGACAGATTATCAACGATTCCGTTCAAGGCGAGTGTAAACCGCAAAAACCGGAGTCGCCAGGGGCAATTCATGCGCAAGAAGGCACTGAAGTTGCTCAGCTGCAAAACACAGAAATCAGCGCTACCGACGAACTCCCTAAAGACCCTCACGAGAATAAAACAGCAAGCGGTGATGTCCACTCCAGTCGTTCAACCGAGCCGGGCGCTGAAAAGCCTTTGACGAACTTCAAGGTAGCGGTTTCCCGCAGTGAAAGCGATTTTGAACCCCCTCCGTGCAACTGCCCAGGTATTTACATATTTTTTTCTGCATGTATTCATATTCAAATGTACGATCCAGCCGGCTTGAATAATCTAACCGCTAACTGCCGACTCGAACGCGATCTAATTTGCTTGATCTCTTTTTTTTTTTTACATGCCGCGCGTATTTCATTTTTGTTTCGGCCTTTGTAGATAGCGTGATATGTGCAGACTGGCTTTGTTTGACGGTTTAAATAAACCTAATTGGGGATTAAGCCGGGTTGCTTGGAATAAAATTTATTAAAGTGTATCCGCGCGGTTAGGTCTCAGCGTTTTGTTGACATTAGCGCTAAATTACAGCGGAAACTTTTAAGCTCGAGCCACGTTGAAATAAATTAGTAGCGCACACGAAAAAATTACGGTAAACGTTAAAGAGGTTTTCTTATCAAAATTTTCATCAGCATCTCGTTACGATAGCGATCAACGTTTGTTTATATGTGTCTCAGTTGGCCGTCAAAACAGCAGTTGTTCCATCTGCGCTAAGCGTACTTTGTCCATTCAGCGGCGAGATTTCGTGTTAATGCCTAATCTGCCTAAACGACACGCTCCCCTGAGCTCTTGCGAAAGTTTTAATTCACGTTATCGGCCTAAATCATTAAATCATCAAAGACGCAACGTGAACTGAACTACCGCAGGAATAAATATGTAAATGAAACAAAGCGAAATCGCGTCTGCGATTGGTAATGGTTTCTAAAGTGCAGCATCAAGAAGTTGAAAGTTGTCGGTTTCTCTGACCAGCTATTGTTAGTTTCTAAATGATAGATGAGTGCTTCTCTCGACAAGTCTGGCAGCAGATATCGCGCCTCGGCGCATTTTTGATTTACGAAAACAATAGGAATTAACAGGTCCACGCTGAAAGATGTCTGATTGGGTAATTGTAAAAAATAAAGAAAAGAAGAAAAAAAAAAAAGCCAAAATCACGATATTTAAAATGCACGGAATTTAACTCGCAGTTGAGCTGGATATTGTTTTGAAGTTTTGGTGGGGGTTGCGGAAAAAGTCTTGAAAATTAACACCGGAAGCTCCGTTTGTACCATTCGGTCTTTCCGTTGTAAAGATTTCGCTCTAAGCTTCTAATTTTCCTTGTTTCTTCAAAAGATTTTTTTAACTCTTAGACGTCATTTATCAAGCTCTTTTCATCGCTACGAGATTTTTCTTAAGGAGGATTGCTGTCTAATCGTGGTTTAAGATTGCAGAAAGAAAACATCCGAACATCACTTCTAAAAATCTTTTTGTTTGTGAAGGAGCTCAGCAGAAATTTAAATCGTTAATCGTTGCTTTCTGCAGTTAAAAAGCATAAATTCTCTTTGCATTCAGTCGGCAATCATTAAGCACTGTTGGAGCCTATATTACTTTGCTGTATAAACAAATCAGCCTTTAGACAAACAGGGTTTCAGCTGATTCTACAAAAACAACGATAAATCTCCTTGCACAGTAAGAGATCCGTGCATTGTGGTGCAAGTTTGAAACCTGCTGTTTTTGATAAACACGTTGATGGATTTTTGTAGCGTAATTAATGAATCTGTGCAAATGAAGGCAAGAATATAATTTTTTATTTCGGGAAGTTTTCCAGTAATTCTAAGGTAGAGGTAGGTTAGGGTCTGTCTGTCTGTCTGTCCTAATTTTTGCGGTGTTAAGCCTTGAAAATTCAGCTTTATCATGGGTAGAATTTGACTAATGAAGTTGTGTGAATAGAAAACCACTGGACATTAGTGGTTTTGATAACAAAATGGGCAGGTTTTATAGTGATGTTTACTGTGTCCATATCCCCAACTCCCATGAGTGACCGAGATGGAATTTCTCCTTAAGATATCAATATAATATCAAACGGATAAGTGATGAGAATAAAGAAAGCTATCAATCAAGGGATTCTTTGTTGATCCAATACCAAATTCTCAGAACTAACATCTAAATGATAGTATGGCAGACTTTATGGAGAATTACTGATGAAATATTTGGGGTGAAAGGATAAATGAGGTCAAATTCAGATATTGGGAAACTTGGAAAGTTTTTTTTTCTGGGAGATTTTCTTTAATGTGGAGGTGTTGAATTTTATAAGATGTTTGTTAGAGCTGATCTGAAGGATCTTCAAGTACAGTCATCATAGACATGCTCTGTGCCTATTCTCTGTTCCTGTTGAGAGAATGTGGCAGTTTTTCTTATTCCCAACATGAATGCTGAAATTAATAATGCATTGTTTGTGCATTGACCTTCAGCTCAGCAATAAATTATCTTTCTTAGTTGCAGGATATTTAACTTTATAGTAGAGCAGCAAGTGCAATGCTACTTTCTCTACCTCTCTAAACTCCTTATTTCAGCCCCGTCATTTCCTTTTTACCCCTTCCTTGGCTCACTAATGTGCCCCACCCCCATATCAGCTACCCCTGGTGTCTTCTATGCCTCTCAATCCCCATTGCTTCTCTCCTTGGTCTTGTCTCCATGGCAGTATGTTCTTTCTTTCCGCGTATCGAAATTCCCTCCTCTTTTATCCCAGATTAATGATGCTTCATTGTCCCAAATTTGAATTTTAACATCTTGCTGTATGTATGCATATGGGACATATACTGGCTTAATGGTTGGTTACCCTCGGCTGGGATAATCATGTTGTATCTTGAAGCAAAACACTTTATTCTCACAGTACATCCCTCCCTGCCCTGGAGTGTAAATGGCTACCAGTTAAATATCTAGGAAACCTGATTACATGATGTAGTTAACCCAGGAATGAATTTGGACGCGATCTTCGCAGTAATGAACACTACTTAAGCAGTAGTAAAAATAAAGCCTGAAAGAAATTCAGGCCTGTACGGAATTTGAACCCATGACCTCTGTGATACCGGTCCATTGCTCTACCAACTGAGCTAACAAGCCAACTGGGGGCTGGTCATTATGTTAGTTCGTAATAAACCCGTGAAATGAAAGAGTTACTCAGGGTTGGACAAAGTATTCCATTCAGAGGGAGAACCAATACCCTTGGTTGTGTCATACTATTTAAAAAAATAAAGATATATAATCAACATTACTATGCCATTTTTGTAACAAATCGCTCTTTTATATTGTTGTTGTAGTTTCAGGAAAAGATGACAGTCCTTATTACACCTACCTGGGAGCTGCACCGAATGTGAATGTTTTGCGGAATCTCTTGGAGGAAAGGTAAACAGAGATATATTGTCAGTCTCTTTTTACAATAACTCTGATTTTACGAAATGTGGCGGGAGACCTTAGTTCATAAACTCAAATTCTTCTCTCTTTGTTAACGAACTTTATTGTATCCAAGAAGTCACAGTATTAAGCTGTTATTTTGAATTTCATTTTGCAGGTTTGGCGTCAAAGGATCTGCTCTGAGAATTGAATTGGTGAGTTAAAACTGAATTTTTTACGATATATTTTCAAATAGAGAGAACAGGACCAGTGTGCACATGTAGCGATGTTTTATTAATTTTCAAATGAAATTACTTCCTCTGTCAACGGTGTATACCAAATAAAAGAGGGATCAATATCAGTATCTGGGCAACGGCCCCCTACTCCTCCCCTAACCCAACATTCACCCTAACTTGTTATCAATTGACTGTTGTTGGGTTAGGGGAGGGGTAGGTGGGCAGTTGCCCAGATACTGATATTGATCCTAAAAGAGTGTGGTATGGGTGAAATAGTTAAAAAACAACAACAAGACGAGCAAACATGTAGGACGCAGTGCCCAGATGTTGAGAGCGCTGGACCACAGATAGCGACTCGTAGACTGAAGCCCCCGTAGGCTCCTGCACCCGGGAGTATAAATGTCTAGTGGTATTGGGAAACCTACCATGTACTCTTTCGTGGGGCAGAGGGAAAGGTTCAAACTGTCGGTCGCTGTGCACCACTAAAAGTGAGATGAGCTCAGGCGGTTTCATGCAACAAGACTCAGTGGGGCTTACGCATAGATGTAACTTGCAAAGAGTAGCACCAGTGCTGGAAAACAGGCCTCGCGGTTTCCCTAAAAGCGTTATCGTTCAGAAATATCCGCTTATGTTTGGAAACGGGTATGTTTTGAGGAGTTTTTGCGACTTTCGTTTACCCGTGAACGACTTAGACGATCAGCGCTAATGGATATTTAGTTAAACGGTCAGTAGAGTTGTTAAGTTCATAGACGGATAAGTTCTCCATGTCTAAGTATTCTCTAGCGCGGTAAGATGGAAAAACAAATAAGGAAACCAGAATAAACAAGGACAGCTGAGGATGGAGGAGATTAAAGCAGATTAAAAAATAACGAGCTTGAGTCAAATTTAATGTTGTGAAAAGATGACCTTCAAACTATAGGAGTCATTCACTGGCTAACCCTTTAACTTGCAAGATCTCATTGGTAATTCTCTTTACTGTCTGACTTACAATTCTTATGATGTCAATTTGGAGAGTTTGGTATTGGATCAACTCATAATCGCCTAATTGATATTTTTCTCGATTCTCGTCACTTTTATGCATGATATTGTATTGATATTGTAAGGAGAAATTCTCTCCTGGTCACGCATGGGAGTTACAAGCAGAATTAAAACAAGAAGGAATCAAGATGGCAAGAATAAACACGATGAAAACGAACCTGGAAATGATCAGGAACTCAATTTGAAGGAGACCTAAAAATATCAGTTCAGTAAGATTGCAAACACATAAGAGGAACAAGGATGGCCAAAGATGAAGAAGGCTGGAGAGAAATGATGAACTTAACTAAAATTTTGTGATCTGCGAAAGTTAGCCTTCATCTTGAAGGAGCGTACAAAATATTAGTTGGATAAGATAAGAAACAAATAGGAGACTGTAATATTTACCAAGAAGGAAGCTGGTTGCTGAGGATGGAGAAGATTTACACGGATTGTAGAAAGTGATTGAGTTCTTTTTGAAAACTCGGCGTTTTTAGTGTTCTGTAGTAGTGAAGTACTTGCGACCATCTTTAGTGGACGGAAAGTGTTCTGTCTCTTTCATATCGTGGTCGTTTGAGCTAGGTGGATTCATTAATTACGGCACACTGGAGTTTTAATCCTCACAAAATGAAGCGACTAGAAGCATAGCTATTCATTTTGGACAGAATTATCTGCAGTTTACCATAAGGCCTTGCTTCAGGGTTAACTTTCAGTTCGCCAGTAGAGAGGCCCTATTAGAGTGAAGTATCTTTCCAAAGAACACAGTACAGTGACCCATCCACGTCTCCAATTGGAACTTCCTAGATTTGAAGACCAATGCCCTAACCACTAGACAACCTCGTCTCGCACTCCATAATAAGTAAATGTATCTTATTAGACGTTTTCTTGTGTAGTATCGCTGAGTACTTTTCTGAGTTATGCCAAACAGCGAGTAAAAATACTCAGCGATACTATACACTAAAACGTCTTATAAGTTATTAATTATCCAACTGGTTGTTTTCTGCTTAAGTCTTTCTGTTTATTTCTCATAAGGCAAGAAAAGTAAAGTGGATAGAGAAGCGTAGCGCGTGCAGCCAGCTGGTTAAACATTTTTTTTTTTACAGTACAAAATACTCAAGAGTCCAAATAACCGTACAATATCGCAGGATATTTGCACTCTATTCACGCGTTATTTGTACTCTACTTTGTGCAGTTGGATAATGATTTGTAGCTTAAGTGAACGTGCACATGTACGGGGGATAATTTTGAACGTGAGTGCATGTTTAGGGGGACGTTCACACGCGAGTATCCACGCTTCCACTCTTTGTAGATTTTGTAAAGCAAACAATAAAGTCGTGTGATAGGCTGTCTGTTAATCCTAGACAGTCTGGCGTGATAATTTTTTTCATCACGTAAGCTCTCCCACACGGTTTTTTGTTGACCGATCAAGTCTTTAGTGGCGTCAGTTTTGCGTTATCACTTTAATCTTAAAGAGAGGAAACGTCAAAATCGAGTCAACTTTCCGGTAACGTTTGAAGCATTGAGGGTTTTCAGTTAATCCCAGGCTTACATCAAGTGGGATGAATATTCATTAATCCTTGGTATCTGTTACCTTTTTGCTTTAGATTGGTTACACAGGGAAAGAGGGAAAAAATCATCTTGGTTGTCCCATAGCGAGATGGGTAAGTTTTTCAGTTGTACTATGTCTTGTAGAAAATTTATTGTACCCACGTTCTATTGTAGCAGAAGAAGAGTATAATCACGGACTACGTGCCTCATTTGAGATAAACATTCCTAACATATCTATCATGTTTGTAGCTGGGGTGTTGTAAGGAATTTGTCCATCGGATCAGCTTAGAAATTAAGCGTTTTAGCACCGTTGTTGGAGAAAACTTCATGATGATGGTAATGGTAGAAGAGAAGCAAAATACAAAGCGAATAAGTAGGCGCCGTTTTAATTACTAAGACGTTCTCAGTAAATCCTAAAAGACAGAGTGTCGCTTCTAATTGCTAGTAAAATGTCTTATCTGGTCCTTAAATGTCTCTGATGAAATCCATCGAGGAGGCAAAAGAAAAGAAGTGTTTACTTTTGGAAAACAAAGATTTTGCATCTATTTGTTTTGTCCTATAGTTCAATAAGTTCGTTCTCAAAAACGTATTCGTACTTTGAGCGGCTCTTTGACTTCGCTAACACGAGAAATTCAATGCACAAAGATCCTTCGGCAAGCGCCGATTAATAATCTTATGTAAACTTTGTGCTATCGGCAAAAATTAAATTAATTGTTCCAAATACTATATTCTGTGCCACACCAGTCACGAAAACCCGGTGAACCATCACCGTTTAAGAGTATTCTTCATGCAATGCAAGACCATAGTACCTCTAAGAAAGGTTGCACCTTCTCACAAATAGTTACAAACGTACCAAGAACAAAACTGAAAAAGAAAAGAAAGTCTGAGGAACTTGAAATGTGAAAACGACCTACAATGAGCAAAATCGCTCACCAAGCACCCAAATAGTTTTTTTTAGATTGGATGTCGGAAGCCAAAATGATGGCAACGGCCAGTCAGAAAAAGGTGATTATTAAGAGTAGCCAATGAGGACTCAAATAAAATCCATGCTCACGGGGTCCCATACCCACACGGTTCCATGCTCACATGGTCCCAAGCAACGATTGATTTAAATTTTTTTTATCTGATTGGTGGAGAAGGTGGTGCGAATTTTCTGGACCAATCACAGCGCGTTGTAAAGAAAACTATGTTAAAAATTTATCTTCTTAAAACTGCAGAAAAAAAAGACGGTGGCGCTTTAGCAGGAGTGAGTTGGGTTTGAGATCTAGCGTGCTATCGTACGTGACTTATTCGTTTTTTGTCACTCATCTGTCTGCAAGTAGGGGTTTTTAATGTATCATTTTCTTGCATGGCATAGGTTATTCGTCGTTCCAGTGACGAGGAGAAGATTTTGGTCATCGCGCGGAAGCGTACTGATCACGTGTGCGACTCGACATTGACTGTAGTGAACATTGTATTATGGGAAGGTATTGCCCAGGAGCGCGCGGATTATCTATATAAGTCACTTAGCACCATGCTGCCTCAACATGGCGTCCCTACGGCAAGAAGATGTGGAATCAATGAGACGTAAGATGAAATATTCTTCTGTCTCTTTTCCGGGTCTCTTGTGTCCCCCTAAAGGCTCCTCCTTCTACTCTACGTGTCTGTTTATGTATCTGTCTCTCTCCCCGCCTGTGTTTATGTCTGTCTGACATTTAGCTGTTTATTGGTGTCGTTTTGTGTGTTTTCTGACGGTAGCCGTCTGTCCGTCTGTCTTTTTTTGTCTGTTTATGTGTTAGGTGGTGCGTCTGTGCCTTACTTATACTCGCACGTCTGTCTGTTTGTCTCTCTATGTGTCTCTCTACCTGTCTGTTCGTTCACAGACCTTCGCACGTCCATCTGTCTATGCATCTTGTGTGTCTGTCTATTCGTGTACAAATACTCGCACCTAAATATTACCAGTACCTTAAAAAAAAAACTTGATACTGTGTCCTTTTTGATGGTACAAAGTGTTTTTTCCCCTATGGTTAATGATAAGACGAACCTCACCCCTCACAAACTACCTTTCGGATTATGGTCTTGCAGTAAATCATGTGCCTGTCAGGGGTTGAACGAGGAGACTTGTGGTGCGTCTTTTTCTTTCGGCTGCTCTTGGAGCATGTACTTCAATGGTTGCAAGTTCACTCGCAGTAAAACGCCGAGGAAATTTAAACTACTTGATTCTTCTAAGGTGAGTTATGAATTTATTTGTGACACAACTACTGACAAATACACAGAACTACGGGCAACAGACTGAAGTATTTACTCCCTTTTCCCTGGGAGGACGCACAAATAAACGACGTATGAGAAATGTTCATTAAATTCCATAGCATAATTTTTTTATTTCCACAAACTACACGATAAGCAGTACCACATGAAAGAACTGTTCAGTAGCTTTCATATGGTCACACTTTAAGGTTTCATTCACAGACTTTAAAAGGTTATCCGCCTTTTCTTATCAGCAGCTTTTATTTGAATCGACACGCACTAGGGTTTCAGACACAGTCTGAAAAGTTTAACCCTTTATCTCCCTTTGGATCAACTAATTAACCCCAAATTGATCTCATTCTATCTTCTCATCACTTATCTGGTTGATATTGTATAGATATTGTAAGGAGAAATTCTGTCTCGGTCACTCATGGGAGTTTAAGGGTTAAGCCACCTTTTTCAGTCCAGTAGCCTTTAGTAGAAAGGTCACACTCTGAGATCTTATCCACAAGTTGGAATCGCCCTGCAGAGCGTGATAAACAGAAACCACATGAAAGAACTGCCGCGCAGCTTTAATTAGAATGTTTTAGAAATTAGATCTTCATCCAAACAACCTTTATTAAAGAGGTAAGATTTTAAATTACCTGTGTTGTGCGTCCGTGGGGAGTTTCTGAGTTGGTGGAGTAAATTTGCCACCGGAAAGAGATCCTGAAACCAGAAAAAGGTAAAAGCGGACCAGTTTAAGGATGATGTTGATTGATGTTGAGTGTTGCAACAATTAAGCGCTACTTTTTTTTTCTATGTTCAAACAGGAAGAGGAATTAGATACCATGATGCAGACATTAGCGACAGATTTGTCCACCGTATACGAGAAATACGCACCTCAAGCTTTCCAAAACCAGGTAATCCTTCTCTCCTTCGACGAATGTATGATTTCTTCCCACAGAATCAATACATTGTCATTCAAGGGTTGGTGAGAATGTTTAAATGATCAACTGATGGATTGAGCGTTCTGATTTTAGGTAAAAGAAGAAAGAGAGGGGCTGGAATGCCGTATTGGAAACAATGAGAGACGGCCCTTTTCTGGTGTCACGTGTTGCGTGGATTTCTGTGCACATAGCCACAAGGACTCCAGAAATATGGACGGTGGAGCAACCTTGGTAACTAATCCTGTTTAATTAGTGTGTGTTCATCAAAAGTACATTTGAAAGAGATGAGGATGACATAGGATAAAGCAGATTGCAGACGACGAAACGATAGAATTTTATTCAAGGTAGTTCTTCTTATTCGTTGTTGCTTTTTTTATTTATTGCTGCAGGTGTGCTCGCTTCTGAAGCCAGAGGCAATTTCGTCAGACGAAGAACAACTTCATGTTTTGCCGTTGTACCGCTTGCTGGACAAGGATGGTGCGCCTGTGCGACCCAATTATGTCATACCTGCCCATTTCCTTGAACCTCCTGTGGGTGTCTCCCCAGGCTACTCCACGGTAACAGGACAAGAGAATTCCCCAAAGGCTAGCAAAGCAGTGAGTAACCACGATCCACAGCCCAAAGAAGGACGTAAAGAAGTCTTTCAGGATCTGAACAACAACAACAAAAGCAGTAATGGACCATATGTACCCTTCGATGGGCATAGCATTCCTCACGGACATGCGCAGTCGATGCATGGCTTTCCAAACTCGGTGATTCACCACCATGCCTCTTCTAATCAGATGATGAACAACTGTTTTAACGGACACTATCCCCACCCCCACGGGTCGCCAATGTTTCAATTTCACCCGCATCTTGGTAACAATTATGTTCTTAACCATTGCCGGGCGCCAGAGGTGCACTGGGTAGACGAGAACCGTATTCCATATTTGTATCGAAATCCGGGACACTTGAATCACTTTCACAACTCGAGTAACAACTTGGACAATTATGGTAACTACGACACAAAGGTTCCTTTTATGGGTGGGACCTGGAATTGTCGAATGCCTTTCGGTAAGTCGTTTCCGATGAACAATGCACCGTCAAATAGAGGTGTCGAATATGCCAAACCAAAGACTGTCATTCATCACTACAATGGTGAGGCCACAAGGGGGCCTTCTCAGATCAAGTGGGTTGATGACAAAGAAGTACCACTCATGAGAGCCTCGAGTAGTGTACCCCTGGATGAAAATGCCAACATAAAAGAAGTAGAAAATCGCAAAGGCAGTGGAAAAGATGTGGGAAGCTCGGGACAGGCACGGAAACCATTCTTGATTGAGGAGAATATGGGAGGAGTGGCTATCGCTCTTACTCATGGATCACTTCTAATCGAGGTAGCCAAGAAAGAACTTCATGCAACTACGCCTCTCAGGAACCCCCAAAGACAGAATCCCACTCGGATTAGCTTGGTGTTTTATCAGCACAAACACATGAACCTCACTCTGCACGGCTTGGGCGAGTGGGAGCAGAAAGTGGCTCGAAAGAAGTTGGAGGGAGAGGTAGCCAGCATGGAGGTGGATGGAACTGAGAAGGACGCATCTGTAGACCTTAAAGAAGAAGAAAGAGAGTTGGGCTATCTGGACATGCTTGCGGAAACAGCTCTGTCCAGAGCGGACATAGATCCTGGTGTCACAAACAAGCGTAATTCTAGTGCGGGCCATTCTTTAGAGCTAGCGTCGGTGAATACCAGTGTTCTTGCACAAAATGGCGCGGACAGTCCGCCAGAAGGTGTAATAAGAGGTCCAAACGACTTAAATGGTTCGAAGTTTCCTCAACGAATAGAAGCAGATGTCCACGGTGCGAAAGATACCGCGAAAGAAATTCTATCTAACTTGTCTTCCACCAAACCAGAGCAACATAGTCAACTGCGCAACGGAATTGAGTTTACTCCCGAACGGCCTCGTCAGGGACAGATTGGGATAAATTCCATGAGTATCCCACAGAGTAATAAGCACAAGAACAAGGAATTCTCTTCCGACCCGCGGCAGCAAATCTGGGGATCTATGCATCACGTTCATCAAAACAACGAAGGGTCCAAAGGTTCGTCATTTCCTTCTAATGTGTCTTCACACATTACAAGTAGAGTAGAACCAAATAAAGTTCCACCTGTTCAAAACGCCGACATGAACCACCGAGAGCCATCGCAGAGCGAAGGACTCAAAATATTCTCCTCTTCCAATGGAATAATTTCTGAGAGAATTGTTAATTCTGACAACAGAGGATTAGATGTTGTGACAGAACCATCCTCGGCCAAACGGCCAGAGGAACGCCTTAACACCGGTACTAACTTCAGTGTCTCGAGGCTGTTAGGGGATGACAATAACAACAGAGGAGAGAAATCCACCACGGGTTCGTCGTCATCCTATAGAATAAGCAGCATTCTCGGGGACGAGAAAACAATCTCCAATGCACAGGATGAAAGAGAAGCAGACACGGCTCGTCAAGTCCCTTCGCATGTTCGGTCATCTGAGAAGGATCGTGATGTCCCTGCGAGGCACCATTCTGTCTCAGAGCCTACGTTTCAGTCACCCAATGTCCCTATGTCGCCAAGGTTCCCATTTTTGCCTCCATTTGCTCACTCTGCAGGGATCAGAGAGAAACTTTCCGCTGGGCCGGAAAGATCCTACCTTGACCTCTCAATGGCGGCCAACCGTCTATTCAACTACAGTCCTTACAAGTTCGGTGTTCCTTTTCCAACATATCCAAGTTTTTTCATGCCTCCCTTTCATCCACTTCTAACTTCTGGAAATGGCCTTTCATCCAACCTTGCTTTAGTTAATTCGCAGAACTATATGTCTTCTTTTATGGACTCCACTAAACGGATCGGAGATATGAATGGCATGTCTCTAGACCCTGCATCACTGACCACCATTTCCACCGCAACGCGGACTGGGGTTAGTTATCCAATAGACACACTAATCACTGTGGCACCCTACACACAGACGTGTGTCACAGGGCACTACCAAAATTGGCTCTGATCACAACTTTGCCATAGGAAACCTTTTGAACCTCTTCTGAGTTTGCGTAATGGTAACAGAAAGGCCAATCTGGGATAACATTGTTTCTCAATTAGTAAAACGTAATACCAAGAAAATCTAGTATAATTGTAAGTCGTTCCTACAACTTGAAATTTCAACATTTTCTCTTCAATAGACTGTGTAAATAGACGACCTGATTAAGTTTTATCACCAACTAGATGAGAGATATCACAGAAATCCACAAATCCTTAAGGTCTTCTGAAATCTGAGTCAAATTTAGGTCTCCAAATGTGACTCACTAGTAGCGAAGAATTAGCGTTTATTTCCCGATGTAGTCGCTTCCGAGGCAGATCACGACGTTTTGACTGACTGCATGCTACTAGTCTTCTTCAGGCGATGAGGTCGACTCGATACGCATCCTTTCGTGATTCAGTATTTTCAGCTGTGATTGGCTAGTTTTTTATCACTCGGCTGTGATTGGCTAGTTGTTTTATCAGAAGGTTACGCGTATTCTTTCCTCCACCGCCGTGATCGTGATCCATTCCTAAAGTGACTGCATTGTGAGAAAAATAACTTTTTTTCCAATATTTTGATATGATTCAAATTTGTTTCCACTTTTCGTAAGCAAAAGCAAGATATTAGGGGGTGAGAATTGAGAATAAAGAGAATACGACTTGGAACATAAAAGAACTGCTGTAAGGAGCAAGGGCTCAACGAATGTTGGAATGACTGTGATTTATCTGTGACGATATTGGGTCCTACACTGGAACCATTGTGTTGCAAATTGATTTTTTTTTCTGCTCTGAGAACAAGTGACGGAAAATACAAAGAGTGTCATGCTACTCGAGTAAAGAGTTATTCTCTCTAAAGCGCATTTCGTTTCTTGTAGATGGCTCTATGAGACTGAGTTATTTGTCGGTGTTTTAGTTGATCCCATTTTGCTTTGTTTGGATATTTAATTGCAATAATCTCATTTCATGAACAAGTAAAAGTTTTGCAAACGTTGTACAGTTAAACTTCTATCGGGACAGGTAACTTATAAGGTAATATTCAAAGCGTAATTTTTTTCATCCATGATTTTAAGGTAAAAATTCATCATGGATTGCAACGGCAGCCTTGCACCAAGGTATACTTCATTTTAGGAGCTTTAGAATGTCCAAGGGGAGTTTTATCCCATAATAGTATTTTTTTTTTAGTGTGGCAGAGTAGTCGAAGTAAGGAAACATCCTTTATATCTTCGTGTACCTTGTTGCAATAAAAATAAATCTCTAATGGATTAATGATGTAACTATATTTATCTGTAAATGCAGGGAGTAGATTTTGATGTTGCAGACAGCAAGCGTTATGTCACGCGGTGCTAGTTTTAATCTTACTGAGTCACGGGTTGGCTTGTTGTGTTAAGGGCTATATTGGCTGTCATGCATGTCACGTTAAGGTAAATTTCACGGTAAAAGCAGCGGCTTGCCGAAAAGCTTATAATTAATATTAGTTTTCGAGACTTTTAGCGGTTATTCTTAACCAATAGATTAAAAATCATGAGGAGATTCATTTTATTCGGATAATATCAGTGCTTCATGACAAAGCGGTGTTTATTTGATTTTAAAATCAGCTTTAGTGGTAGAACTGATAGGAATAAAATCAATATCATGGGGTACATATATATCATGTAAGTAAGAGTGAACGGATACAAATACAACCTTCTTTCTATTGTTAATGTGGCTGGATTTTTTTTCTAATGTAATGAGTCAGATTGTAACTAAACTTCTCCGCATCAATCTTGACATGTTAACAGTGGTATATGTATATATGTATATGTATATGTTTCAACCGAGGCTTTCATATAAGCTTCTTTATCCCAGATTCGCTCTAACGAAGGACTAACGGTCGAGACGTTAGCTTTGGGAATTCAGTTGATAAAACCTGGTTAACTTGTCATGCCGCCTTCCGTAGCATGATTAGATAAGGGCTCAGTTGAATGAAGGGTAGTTAAATCATCATTTGGCCCTTAAGTTTAGTGCTACCTGATATAATATGGGTGTAACAAATACTTTTAGCACCGATGTGCGACAGAAATGGTATCGATGAACATGCCTACATACTTCTCAACGAAGTTCAGGGTCACCTTAACTCTTTGGTAATTTAAGGTTGCTCTGAACTGGAAGTTAACCTCACCAAAAGTCCTCAAGACAACTTTACAAAAATTCAAACAGATAATGAATTATCACCTTAAATTTGAACAGGATCAAATAAATAGCCTACTTGTATAATTGCATTCCTTGTAACATTACTTACTCTCCCCTCCTTGTAACATTACTTACTCTTCCCTTCCCCTCCCTCCCAGGCACAATGTGATTTTCTAGCAGCATTGATACCTTCAAAGACAACATTCGTATGGGAGGGGATGGGGGGAGTGAGGTTGTGTTTTCATCTTTTCACACCTAGCTACAACAGATGAAAGAAACAGTGTCCGAATACTTTTAAAAAGGTTTCAAATTATGTCACGCATACAAAAACTTATTTCATAAATGAAATTCACTAATTGCTAAATATCAAGAGGAAAAAAGGGATTAGATGATGTCTCGTAATCTCTGGTAAATATTTATCCCCCTAATGCTTTTGGTTTCTTAAATCTCCCGTACGCCTCCTGCGTTGGAACACAGCTTCCTTAGAAGTTGTCTTTAAGTCATAAGCCAGCCCGACAAGAGCGAAACAATCTATAAAAAATTTAGACAAGTTGATATAAGTACCCAGTTCAGATGTAGCATAGTCTTGAGGAAAACAGTGATGAAAGTTGTGGTAGCCTTCACCGAGTGTACCAAGATTAGCGACAAGGTTCTGTGAAGGGCTTATGGTTTCGTCGTAAGGTCGTGATCCCCATATATGGGCAAAGCTGTTCACGCTCCACGTGACATTGAGTAAATAAGCGTAACGAAACGCAAAACAAACGAAAAACGAGTTCCATAACGCTTCATTCCAGAAGTACCATGGAACCAGAGTTGGAAGAATGATGTTGAAGATTATCGTGAGGGGCTTGTAGTGCCTGGGGTTAAAAAAAAAGAAACGACTAAATTTGAGCGCACTTACTGAATTTTTCCGTAAAATACATTTATTCTTTAAATGCTAATTTGTACGCTTACTATTGTTATTACTCTTATTTTGATTCCGTTTACACATGTACCCATCCACTTTTTCATTCATCAGTTCATTCATTCATTTGTTCATTCAGGTCATGTATTCGCTTATCTGTATATTCACGACATCATGATTCCAAGCGTAAAATTTAAGTATATTAGTCCAGTATCAAAGAACTATATTAATGAATAAATGTGTTCATAAATGACTCAATATATTTGACAATACACTTGTTCCACCATGTTCCAAGGAGGACAGGAGGTCGTTTATTGTTACGAGAGTGGAGAGGGGCGGGCAAATGTCGAACAGGGTGTGTGTAGAAAGCATTGCAGCGGAACGAGTTATACAATACTTCACTGCAAGGATTTTGTAAAATGTTTTGGACATAAGCTGATGTTCGATAACATCTTGAAATTATTTTCTGACAATTGCAGGGCCTGTGTCCATCGGGATATCTCTGTTGTAGTCGTTATTTCTTAATGACCTGAAGACAAAGAGTGGTTTTCACTTACCTTCTCTGAAACATTACGATATTATCAGCGTATAGATCACTCATATCGATCTGTTTTCCCTTCGTTCTGACATCAGGATGTTTTCTGACCATCAGCCATCCGACGTGCGAGAAAAAGAAACCTCTCTTGGCATTGTGAGGGTCGGCGTCGGTTTCAGAGTACTTGTGGTGAACACGATGGTCTCTTACCCATTCTAAAATGTCATTTTGAGCGCTCATGCAATTCATCAACATCAGGAATAATCTAAGAGACCAAGTTGCCTTAAATGAGCGGTGTGACCACAATCGATGTGCTCCAACTGTAATTCCTATTCCTCCTAAAATGAAACAGACCCCCGTCCAAACCCATGTCCATGGTTTTGTCCTGGGGAGGATATAAAGACCATATAATGCCATTCCATGCAAGGCAGTTATCAGGTACACATTAAGCCAGACTATCTGAAGCGGCGGACGTTCTGTATTTCTTCCATTGGTGCTCGTCTTTGTTAGGTATGTGTTTTCTGCCTCGGCTGTTGTAGAATTTTTAGGTGCCATTCTCTCTCTCTGTTTTTTTCGCTGCAAACTCGAATCTCGGTGAAATGAACGCGCGAAACAGACTGAATATTTTTTGAGTGTATGAGTTTACCACTCGCCCACGTAAATAAAAACTAAGCAAGATATGCTTTTCAAATATGTACGCTTCAAAAAACAACCCAATCAGAAATAAACAATTTTAAGTGGTGCGGATTAAATCCTTCGTTACGCTTGGGAATTATTGACAGGAGACAGGAAATTCTGATGATAAATTACGATTTCATGAGTTCTGAATCTTTTCAACCTGTCAACAATTATTTAGGAGTAAAACACATGTAACTTACCGGGTTAGAAAATCAACCATTAGAATATATTAGATAATGTGAAGCGATTGCGTTTCAATTATTTATTCACGAATTGTGCATATTACTAACTGTGCATATTATACGCTTGATTGATATGATCAATTACGTGTGAATCTTGAGTAAAAACACCCATGAAACTTGTTAAAAGTCAATTTAAATTTATCGCGTATTCAACATAAGATGTGTTTAGAGGTTAAGTCCTTCAAAAGGTAGGACTGCAATACGTGCTTGGGCTGATTTTGTGTGCATCAAACTCTTGCGTGTATTGGTGACCAATTTTCAAATGATAATTGCAAGCAGGCTCAAGATTGCATCATATTTTCCCAAATGACTGACTTACATGAAGAAATGAGCCTCAAAATAAGAAAACAACTGAATCTATTCCTCGCGAAAATGACTAAGTATTCTACAATAATTCATTATTATTCCGAGAGGGCGCTGTGATTATGTACCTCCTCAGCAAAGTGTGACCAAACGCGATTTTCTCCTAACAGCATCGATTCGTTTTCAAACAGAAAGACAATGAGATTGAAGAGAAATAGCAACACGGGAATATTATATAATTCAACCTAACTTTTCAAGTTTAAAATCACAGGAAATGTGTGGCAATCAGCGGGAAGAGCTTATTGCGGTCCTTCAACCCATAAGATTACCTGGCCGCTGATTTTTCCTCGGCTCAATCGAAGATAGCTTAGAGCGTACTTTAAACAATGGCTAATCTTTGTTTGAATAACTGGCCCTGTAATCTTCATTTTTCTGTGACAATTCAGCTTTTGATGGTTTATAGTTCTACTATCGGCAGTCTTACGTTGCATTACTGATGTTATAAACTGCAGTCTTATAAGTTACAATTTATTAATGAGTGTGAGCAATCCTAGGGAAGGGCAGTAAGGAGTTTATGGTAGAGTATATATGGATAAGAGCGGGGTGGGATGGGAAATATTGGTTGTGGACCCCTAGACGAAATTTAAAATTGAAGATCACAGAGATCAGAGGCGTAGCCAGGATTTTTCAAAAGGGGGAGGGGGGGGGGTCACACTGTGTACTCACCAGTTTTAATTTTGCCACCTGAATATTGTAGGTTGTTTGCTTAAAATAGGCTTACAAAGGTGGGGTTACTGGCACCCTAAAACCCCCTCCCGCCACGCCCTGGAAGATTCACCCTCTCTAGCTAATTGATGAAACGAAATCTGAAACTAAACCTATCGAAAAGGCGTTTTTCATTTAAAATGCAATATCATGTAACTTATTAGCGCCATCACCGGCTATAAAAGTATACATTTTCTAAAAGCTTAATAAACACGGACTACGGATATTTATTTAAATTCTTTAATTTTGACCAATGAACAGAATGGGAGATTATATTTTCACGCCGAGACGTTTTATAAGATAATTTTATTTGACGATGCTTTTAATTAACAACTTCTGTTTTTCATCAGAACGTGATCAGTATATATTGAACTAAAAGGAGGTCTGAAATTTGTAATTTAACGCATCGTTATTTGTTAATCATTTTTCTTTTACTTCAAAGTAGCGCTTTTGAGCAAAGTTTTTGATGTAGATGCTTTATATTTTACTGAAAGGGTAACAAAAAAAAACCCTCAAAAATCCCAGACACCCTGTGTACTTTTGCATATAGGGATAGCGCGAATGATTTGCATATTATTTCAGTTGGAATGAAAGTGGTTATATTTGACCTTGGAAGACCAAATTTTTTTTAGAAACGTTTTTCGTTCGTACTCATGGTGAAATATTTATTTCTAGTTTGGTGAAAAAAATTATGTAAAAAGAAAAGTTAAAAATCGAGCAAAGTAAATTAATAGAGTAAAAATTGTTAGAATCATGTATATAAAACGTGTTTGGATTCCCTTCGTCGAGCAAATTAATAGGGTGTGTAGATTTTAAGGATTTTACGAAATTTGACCAAAATGCTAACCAGATATTAACGTTCTAAAGAGTGCCAGGCTTTACTGATAATCCAACCAATTCTCTTCTCATGGCTTTTTGTGTGACGGGGATCGCCAGATATTCCTTTGGCGGATGTCAAAATAGTTTTTCTCGGCAAACAATGTGATTACGGTTAAAGCTTCACGCGCTTTTGCAGTCCATCAACTGCTAATTGGAACCGTGCAGTTTATTTGGACTTGCTTGCGAACCCGAAGGTAAGTAATTCAGTTGATCAAAAATCGATAATTTTGGGGTTAAGAGCTTGCGCACGCTTACCCTTATTTCGATGATTATTCCTTCGGATTCTACATTTTATGCTTTCAACGGTGATGTCTTTTAAAGAATTTTAGTGCCAGGGACGCGCGCACAAACGATTTTACGTAAGACATCCTTAATAAGAATTTTCACTCATTTTACAATGATCTATAAACTTGATTTTCTGGTGGATAAGGGGATGGGAAAGATGAAAAGCATATGAATGACCAAGACAGAATTTCTCCTTATAATATTAATACAATATCAAGCAGACAAGTGATGAGAATAAAGAAAAATATCAATTAAAGAAATGATTGGTTGATCCAATACCAAATTCTCTGAACTAACATCACAAGAATTGCATGTCGAACAATAAGGAGAATTACCACTTAGATCTTGAGAGTGAAAAGGTTGACAAACAATTTTTCATAGGATTTTGAAAACTACAAACAGCAGTAACTTAACAAGAAGATATTCTTTTCATAAACAATATAATTTATTTGATCTTTTTTCAATAACATTCATGGGTAATATATCAATTAATTTTCAAAATGCACCGCCAACTTTGCTGTTTATTTTTACACCCACTTGAATGATTAAGGCAGGTTTGATTGTGTTGACTCTACTCATTTCACTTAGCCTGCACAATAACTTAATTAAATAATTTTTTGGAGAAAATTGTTTACCGAAATAAACTGTGTAATATTATTGACTTGCAGAACTGACTGTCTCACTACAAATATTCATCATATAAGTAAAAAAAAACTACAGGACAATTGTCATGTATTGAAAATGTGAAAAAAAAAACAAATACTGTGGTGTAAATGTTGTTTTAATTTGCTCAAACCATGCACCTTGGCCCAAAAATCTTTAAATAAAGCATACTTATTATAGGTATTACCTTATAAATTCTACCTAAGGGAGGGGGGTCTTAATTGACTTGGTAAAGCACCTTTCCCCAAATTTAGGTGTGTATTGTTATGAGGGGAGGGGAGATAGTAGGTCAAAGTGACATCTATGATTGAGTGCCAGTGAGTACTTCCTGACAATATATTAACTTAACAGTGCTTCATTTATGCACTATGTAATATATAACTAGAATTTAATTAATTTTTGTCTTTAGGGAGAAGCTTTTTTTTAAGAAGTAATTGTGTTGTGAATCATTTGCTTTCAAGCAATTTTGTTTGATATATTTAAGACAGCTCTTATGCTTTTTAAATGATCAATTCAAGGAATATTAACATATAGCTATAATAATTAATCATCTCTAAGTTTTCACCTGACAAGACATACTGGAAAAAACTCTCGAATCCTTACTAAATTCTAGAAACTTAACTTTTAACTTGAACTTGACCTTTGCTTTTCAATCAAAGCAAACTGTTATTTGTCTCAATTTTAAGTGGCAGTTAAATGGAAATTTCGACGCTTAGCTTAATGAAACAAATATATTTTAGAAAACTAAGCACTGGTCTGAACTTATTAAAATAAAGAATTTGATGGCATAATGCATCACACAGCATTAAAAATGCCTTTGATGTTTGAAGCTAAAAGCTTAATTCTTCCAGAGGAGAGAAAGCACTTAGCAAAAAAGTCATGAAGCTTGTTTATGGTAATGTAAATCAGACCATTTAGTCATCATGATGTTTAAGATGCTGTAAATTTCCAGTGCGCATTCTTCTCTTTAAGATGGTGTCTTTTGAGATAGTTTTCAAGTCATATGCCAGTCCAAGGTTTGCACAAAGGTCAATGAACCACTTGGAGGGATTAAATCGCAAACCTAACTCACTTGCAGCATAGTCCTGTGGGAATGTGTGGTGGAAGTTATGAAACCCTTCTCCTCCAGTTGCTAAGACAACAGAGAAATTCTCAGAAGGATTAATGCCCTTGTCATATGGTTTTGATCCCCAGATATGAGCAAGGCTGTTAACAAACCATGTGGCATTAAGAGTGACGGCATAACGGAGTGCATAACAAATAAAGAAGCCATTCCAGACACTTTCATTCCAGAACAACCATGGTACAGCAATTGGTATTGCAATGTTGAAAATTACCACGAGTAACTTGTAGTTTCTAGGGAAAAAATAAAAAAAAATTTTTAACGCAATGTGTCATGATCATCAAATCAAGGACAAAGAAAATTTTATATTGCTTTTTCTCAGTAGTAAACAACCCCTTTTAAAGACAATTCAAATAAATTTCCAATCAATAACCTCAGTTTCTAACTTGATTACTTTCAAGTTTAACACAAGATAATTTCTATCAATTAATTAGACCACAAGAGTTTGAAAAAATTAAGATTGGTGCAGGGAATAAATTGACAATTGAGGAGAAAGCATGGAAAATAAAAGAATGCATGGAAAATTAGCTTACTGTGTTGTTTAACTGATGTGAACTTTGCACACCAGGAGGGGACACCCAATAAAGTTTGGGTGGTTATGTAATGGAACAAAACCTCATCAAGAGTGACAGATAACGACAGAAGAATATGGAAATTATTATGGAGAACTTCCAGAAGCAAATCAACATATATTCTACGCAGAGAATACG